CAATCAAAGAGAAGAGCCAGTTAGGTGAAAAATAGAGAAACATCAACTTTAACCACTTCAAAGCAAGATATTGTGATTGAATTTAACATTCTGTGTAGAGCTTAATAACTAAATAAACTTGATGTGCACTTATATTCAAGTAAAATGCCTTGATGCCTATAAAGTCATAAGTAGAGTAATTGCCCCAAAATTAGTCCATTTCTTAGGGTCATTAAAACTTGGATGTAAGCTTCATTGAAGATTAATGAACAAGCAAGGGGCGTCTATTCACATAGTGGATGTAGGATGAGGGCTACATATGTGTGTATTTAATTTATACATCTGTTATCTCTAGCCAAAATAGTCCTTATGCACTAAAGAGAATTATAACAAGTAATTTAATAGGTCAATTAGATTATATATTCTAATCTTTTATATAGTGGCCTTCATACAATATTAGGAAACTTGTGATCAAAATAAATCTACTACATTTTTATACACTAGATAGAAATAGGTCACCATTTAATAACTCCACAAATTATAAGACTCTTGAATATTGTATATAATAGAATTACAAATTATAATTCTAGAGGTTAACAAAATTTGGTTAGACAACAAGGTTGAAATAAGTTGGGCTAACTATGTTATGTCAACACACGAGGTTAGCATACTAAACAACAATGAGAGAAAGATGCACTATTTTATAATTATTTGACCTATCTTAGTCTACATCCACCTACTATAGGTTCTTACCCTTGATTTTCACTATTTGCTCTTAGGTATAGTAGTTGAAATCCATGAGATTACCAAATGTTCATGCATGATAGATTTTACAAGTTCATCTCCCTAGGCTAGACATCCAAGCACTTGTTTATCTTTTCTCCCTTGTTATCAATATTCTCTAAGTATGATGCACACAAAGAGATTTTAAAACTAAGATGTTAATATTGTTTAATTTTGGTTATGTTTGAATTCTTAAGAAAGCTTAGGTGGGGTGATAAAGTTGGTTATGCATCTTGAAATAAATGGAATGGATTGATGTGTCATTGAGGTGCACTTTGAAAGCTTTTGAGATGACCTTTTTATAGGGATCAAAATATTTGATGATTGGAATTAAAATCATTGAGATCTGAGCACTATCAATATTTCTTTCTGAAATGTTTTTTCTTTTTTATTTTAAATTTATTCTATTATATTTGTTCTTGATGCTTATTTTTTGAATTTATTTCTAAAAAATATAACCAAAAAAATTAATGGAAAAAATATAAAAACTTAGATCTTCATCTAGGGATTAATGTAGGAATACTATAATTATTCTTATTTTTTCTCTTTATCTTTTATTATTATTATTTATATCAAAATACTTGAACCAGCACATCCAATGCAAGGCACCACCTCCAAGCTTCACCATTTATCCTTATTTAGAGGTCATGTCCATTTTTTTTTATTGTAAGCTGTGGGCTGGATGTGTAAGAGTATGGGCTGGTAATCTAAGAAACCACTAAGTTTATTATATCTTAGGAAATCTTGCGGATGGATTAGATCAATAGTTGATCAAACCACTACAAATCTTAACATCATGTGATTTGTCCTTACCTTATCATCACAATAGAGCTTAACCATCTTAATCTATAATATGAGTTCCTTGATTGAGCTAGGAGTTTAACATTCTTAGGACCCTTGGATGTAGTTGCCTCTATCATGGGACATATAGGAGCAAGAAAGAAGTGGTGAATTTCCATACCGTTTATTTTCCTCCCTCCCTCTCTCTTTATCTCTCTAATACCTCATTTACATTTGAGACAAGAAAACTCTCCATGATTTGTTATTTCGAGTTTCAATTGATGAGGTGAGAGATGTTAGGCTTCGTTATTCAAAAAGTCACCATGAAGCTTTCTAGTGTGATTTACTTATGGCCCAATAGTTCATTTATAGCACTATTATTTGGGTTTTAAAAAAGAGTCAAACTAATTTTTTGAGTTCTTCATAATTTATATTGTGGTATTGGCCCTGTCTCTTATTATCATTTTATTTTGATGCATTCTATAAATTCTTTCAATTCTCTAACACATTACTCACTAGTTTTGTCTTATTGCTTTAATGATTGCTTCTTACTATGTCATTAAATTGTTTGTTCTTCTCAAACCCATTCATTATTTATACATCTATTGATTCCTCCTACATCATAGCTATCCACTAAAATTAGAGAAAGCTCTTGCATTAGAGGTAAATTTCTGATACTAACATAGTAGAAGTCATGTAAGAACAAAACTGAGCATTGAGTTCACAAGACATGAAATCCTCAATCTTGGAGTCCACAATGATCTAGATGATCTGTAAATCCACAAGCGTAAGAAATTTTCATCTTGAATCCACTAGGGTTGATTGCATCCACAGGAAAATAAAAAAAGAATGATATTATTGAAGTTTCCTCTTAGAGATATAGTTCTAGCCTTAAAGTAGCTTGGTATCTATTGTAAGTCTCTTAAATACTTGGATTAATTAATAAAAATATATAAAAGAGAATAAAAAGCAGAGCAGTTACTATGATATGTTATCTACAGGGTTTCTAGTGTACTTGGATGGAAATTGGGCTCAAAAGTTATTGAAACTCTAGATGCTTGTAGTTCACATTTTTATGTTTTCAAGACACTCGGGCAAATTCTGGGCCTTTCAAATTTCGTTTAGAGTCTTACATCTATACTCTCCCAAATTAAAAAGGTACAAAGTTGTCACTAAAAGATTTCAAGGTACACAATAATATAACAACATGTATTTTCAAATCTACATCATTACAACAAGGATTGAGATTATATTGAACAAGGATTGACAATGGTTTGGGTTAGAAAGCAACCAATAATATTTAAACATTTATAATGCATAACATTCTCTTTGAGTAAAATTGAACATGAAAATGTTGATTTCAAATAGATTAGATGAAGTGCTAAGAGGGGGTGGGTGAATTAGTTGTTTATAATTTCTTTATATTATGTTAAAAGGGGTTGATTCACTCTCTAACGGCTAACAAAAATGAACTCTCTTTTATAGTCATTTAAGTCTTCTCTAATCTGCACCCACTTACAAAGGTGACTATGCTTGGTTTCCACTATTATCTCCTAGAGAACATTTTTTGACCATAGGATGAACGAATCCACATTACACAATAGATTTAATGAGTTTCTCTATCTCCATTAGGTAATAATGAACTAGTTTTCTTTTGTTCGTTGTTACTAATACTCCCTTTTGGTGTATTCAAGTATGTAGGTGTAAAACATAAAAAATATAGATGACGGTCACAATTGGAAGAAGTGGTTCCTTAATTAGGTGGAACTTTGACATTTTGTGTAACCTTTGCCACTATAACATTTACTCTACAAATCAGCTAGAAAGAGAGATGCTCTCATGAGCATGAGTTGATTGAGTTCATCCAAAATTGATCTCTCCTGAAAGCTCAAGGACTTGATCATTGGAATCTAAGCAAGTGAGATCTAATTGGTCAAAGATTTGCTAAATCAACCTTGAGTTGGCTACCAATATAATATGTTTGCTTTTTATGTTATAAATATGTGATTTCCTAACTCTTTTATTCTCTAATGTTATCAAGTGTCTTTGTAAACATAATGATACACAACACTGATTAGTATCTTTAGATTGTAAGTTATGTGATTTTAGAGAAAAACATTAATTTTTCTCTCCCGAGTTTAACTCATTGGTTGTTGAGTCAATTCCCTAAGTTGGCTCTATTGGGTTGACTCCTAGATCTTTTCTATAATTTTCTCTCTAAAAAAGTATATTTTTAATTAGCTTTTCTTCATTTGGATTTCTTCTTGGTGATTCTTTTATGAAGTTATAGCAAAAAAATTCAATCAGCACAAATGGACTAGATCTAATAATTTAAATCATTGTAAGAAAATAAGATTTCTGATGTAAACTAAGTGGGTATCAAGATGGCCATTCTAAGGGGAGTTTGAGACAAAGAGATTTGAAAGCCATTATTTAGAATATACTTGCCTAAGTGACCAAATGCACACCAAATGCTCATGTGGGAAAGTGAACTCCTAGGTCTAGAGAGTAATAAGAACATACTTGTGATTAATTTTTCTTATTATATCTATCCATCAACTTGGAGAATTTTACATGTCTAAGTGACTCATGAGAAGACAAAATTTAGAAGAAAATTCTATAATTTATGCCAACCATATGAGACTAGAAATTTTGAGCACATGAATGTTTTTACTAACTTGACTTTATTGCTTTGTCGTTCAAAGGCTAAACTGGAAGAAGAAGATGGATGACATCAACTCATTTGGTCCTTTATTAGGTTGAAGGATCACTCAAAGGCCAACAACTCACATAACAAAGATATTTTGATGATGGAGGTCAAAATCAATATATTGTAAACCATGTAAACATAGAAGCTTTCCATGGCTGTTGAAGGGGGAACACTATGTTGAAAATGGCAACACTACACCATTGAAAGGGTAGTTGTTAAAAGTTTGATGGTAGAGAGTTTGGATAAAGAACAAGAATATAAGAAGAGCTGAGGTTGCGAGACCAACACTACACTTCTTAGTCAAAAGGAAAAGGCCAACGGAAATCTGGTTTGTCTCTAGGCTCAAGAGACGTCTAGAGAAAAGGGCAAGTCTTCAGTCCATCTTCTAATGCACAAGAGCTGCTCGTATATTAGATAAGTGGGTGAGGGAGAGGTCTCGTGGAAAGATGGAGAAATCAGTAAGGACAAGGCGCTGACCATCCCCCGTTACCCAGATCGAAGGGAAGCTACTAATTTGCCTGACTAAGCAGTAATAAATAAGTCATCTTGCCAGGACTAAAGCAAAATAATCCTTCTGTAAATGAGAAGCGTTTTAATCATACTAAAAGCATGGTGTGGTGTGGTGTTGAAGAAAGTTACGGACTAGACTTGGGCTAAACTCGCAGAAGGTCGTTTCTTTCCTAAGAACCCGAGGCGCCTGCCGCTTTTCATCTGTCGAGGCTCACCCGGGAGGGAGGGAGAGGGATTCATGGATGTGACTTCTGCTTCGTCTTCCTTGTCTGGTACAACGGAGAGGAGGGGGATCCCCGCCGCCGCCTTCGTGGAAGATGTTCAGACCTATCTCGCGCAGTCTGGCCTCGATGTGAGCACAGCCCTCACCTTCCTCCAGGAAAGGTACGGCGGGTTCGTTTGATCATGTGATTTCCCTAGTCTCCTGCGTGATCTTATCGGCCTGAGTGTCCGCCGGTCCTGGACTCCGGAGGAGTCTTTGGCTTCCGAACTTAGCACGAGGGTTTGTAGGCGGGCTAATTTTTGTGTAAAATGTCATCTTTATGTCCGTTCTCTAGCCTGATGGGATCGAAGAGAAGATAGGTCTTCCTGGCGGGCACCTTTCCAGATCTATCCAGTAGAGTAAGCTCGCCGGTTCTGCTGTGAGTTTAAGGGTTTAGGCGCTGGGGGCTCTTCGAGGGACCACTGACCGTTGGAAGAGGAATAGAAGAAAATAGAAATGGGTGGTTTCTGGGAAAGAAGATAAAACTCCGGCTTTGGAACTCTGGTCTCCTATTCCATCTCTCCAGTTGCATCTCATAGATTGGTGTTCGAAAACGTTTTCCTGGTGGGTTAAGTCCCCGTTGAGAAAGTTCTTAGAATTTTAACCGTTTTAATGAAAACGGTGGTTCACCCTTGTTGGTGGATAATCGACTGACTTGTAACACTTGATCCGATCATAATACTTATTCTCTCTTATAATCATGCTCTTCTGTGTTGTGTTTTTAACTATTCATTTTTAGTGTTCTTATACCAAGTACTATTGCTTTCATCAACCAGGTGCATATACCGCCACATAAGTCGATGATAGAATGCGATAGAAAGGTTAGATAAAAAATGATTTGGTAATGAAAGTGCTTCACACACGCGAGTGAATCTGGAAAAGGGCTCTGTTAATCGTCAGAAGTAGTAACCTGAATGCACTGAAAAAAAATTAAGCACAACCTTGGGACACGAAGCAATTACTAACATCGTCTCTGGATCTGTCACCTGTACTTGTTAAGAGTTACAATTATACCACTTTGATTTATTCAACCCTCTTTGAGGCTGGATGCTTCTATGCATTTTATCGTTTTCACGGATGAAATATTCTTTTTGGGTGGCTCTGTGAAGCATGTTTGTAATGTCATACTAGTTCTACCTCTCTAGCAATGGACAGTTGAAGACTGTGCTGGGATTGGTGATGCATGAGATGCTCATACTGCTATCATTGTACCTGAACCACTCCAAAGAGAAGATGTTCTTAATCATCTCCATGGTCTTACCGCATTCAAGCCCAACAATAGCCACGCAGTCACGTCTGTTTATGTGGAATGTTATCTCCCCCTTGCCTACCCTGCTAGGTGCTCAGTAAAATGGTTATCACCAAGTGCTCATAGCAGTTCATTGGATCTGGTTCCAATCTGGATTGTACCTGGTCGGTTGATTATGCATCCATTCTGATTCGAAAGACCATGCACTTCTTCTGATCTTCTAGGAAAGAAACGAAAACGGCATTTTCTCAGAACTCTTGATATGGCAGCAGTGCACTGATGTACTGTGTGAGCATTGAGACACCATTGTTCGTTTAGGCCTGCAGCTTTACCAGTTGGTATATTTGCATAAAATGACTATTTATTTAAAGCGCTGTGAAAGAATCTAAAATGTCTTTATATTTCTTTGTGGACTCCTTCATGCTTTTTTAATGCCCCGTCACAATTTTGTGCTTCTTTAGGCATCATCCTCTCTTATGAAGGTGGAGACAATGTATCAAATGCTCTGTAGGGCTAAATACAAATGATCCTCTAATAATCATGCATCTCTGAATAGTAGATTATATGCAGATATCGAAAGGTCACGGGGGGAACCCCTAACCGGTGAGGAAAAAGGTAAAAGAGCATAAAACGATACAGAGGCGAATTGGTAGCTCTTTTATTATAAAATAAAAGAAACCCTAACTTGAGAGCATGCATATTTTATAATCCTTCCAAACTACCAACAATATCCTCATATACAACAGTTCATCACCAACAGTTTGGCCAATTCAAAAAAATTACCTATAAAATGCTACTTTTAGACTGTTCTAAGCATCAAACAGATGTTACTGACAGTCATAGATTCCGATTTATCTAATTTACAAGAGATTGGGTTACACAGTACTCTATGTCAGGTTTTATAAATGTAACATGCTGATTCAGTTAACTAGTCTTATGCCTCGCGTATATAGAATAAATCCATTTCGTCCATACTAGAGTTTGGAACTATGGAACTCATTGTGCACATTTTATAAGGTAGTTTTATTTTGAAAATATTGGCAAATTAATCTCGAATATTAGGAGTACAACCACGTCTTTGTCTGAATGTACTATTTTGTTATGTTTTTCTGATTTTCCAGGTTACAACAATATAGGGTGGTTGAGATGAAACTCTTGGCGCAGCAGAGGGATATTCAGGTTAGTTTCGTTTTTGTCATCTTCCAACTACAACATGCTAAGCTCCTAGTACATGTATGCTCCTGTCCAAGAACTGATTGTCCTTGTTAGAAAGGATTGTCTCAACCCATCATCTAAACTTTCCTTCTGTTGTTCATGGCTGATCCGATTCTGTCTGTGAGGAATGGGTTGTTTGTATTGATAACTGAGAGCTTATTTATCTGCATTGAAATGATGATTATCATCAGAATGGCACCAGTGCTTTTGAATTACACTTCTGTATGTGATTGGGACACAGGCTGTCAAACTGGAATACTCGTATATATTTCACTTCATGTCAAGATTATTTTTATTTAGGCGTTACTTTACTTTCTTTCTTCTATTTTCCAGGCAAAGATTCCTGAAATTGAAAAGTGTATAGATATTGTCTCAACATTGCAAGTTAAGAAGGGTACTGGTGAGGTTCGTTTGCCATATCTTAACGATTGTGGGCAGATTCCGTCCTTTGTCTTCTTTGTATATGCTTTTGGTTCACTTTTTGCATTAGCATTTAGTGTGTATTGGGGCAGATACTTTTCCGTTTTACTATTTATCTGATGTTTTGGTAAGCGATTCTTTATTCTTTTTATAAAGAAGCCTGTAAGTATTTTCCATAGTCAAAGTTGTCCTGCTTTGTTGTTAATCATTTCTATAAATTTAAGATTTTATAGTTTGATAACGTTTACCAGTATGAAGCCTCCCAGTGGGGCAATTGGTCAAGATAAAGCTGTAATGGTGAAGATTAGGTTACACTTGTCCTTTCTTTGGCGTCTGGAAGGAAAATTTCCATAAACTGCTAGTAAATTTTCACATGATCCACGTGACTATCCTGAAGCTAACACATTGTTTTCTTCATTCCTCAAAGTGGAGTTTTGATCATGTACACGGGCCATTTGGATCGTATCATAAATTTACAAGTCACATCATCACATCACTTTTTTGGTCATGCTTTTAGTGGCATTTCCTTAGTTGGCCTTCGTGAGATTGTTTGGTAAGTAGTTGCAAGCAAGTTTTTCTTGATTAATTATATTATTCTACGAATGGATTCCCCTATATAGTGATGGATTATGTACACTCCACTTTATCAATAAAGGAGATGAGAAAGAAAAGCAAATGTTTGAAGGGGTCTTAACCAGTTATCAATTTAGTTCATCTGATGACTTTTGAGCCTCATAGTATCAAGTTCCATGACATGAGCTGCATTATTTAGCTATATACACCATCTGTTCTTTTAGTATGATGGTCAGTTTTTGCCTTACCCTGAATATCAGACTGGAATTTAAATTTTTCATGAAACTTTGTTGTGTGACAGACTTGTACTTAGAGATTAACCAGTGTTTGAGAAGTATTGTAAAGTCGTAGCACATTTTTAATTTTGAAATAGGAAACCTAGATTATGGAGACCTTCTATCTAAATCATTAGATGACGCTTCGAGACATCCCAGGTTTTATCTAATTTTTAGTTGAATAGTATTATCGTTCGTCCAGTAGGAGGAAGATGTTGAACACGCATCTGATCTGCTCGTAGAGTAGCCCACTGTTGTGCTTCATGCCCAACTCCCCTCAAGCTCTGTCTTATAGTATCTATCTAGTGAGAGTTCATGAGGATGGTGCTTCATGACAATTTGTACTGGCTTACTTACATTGACAGTGTTTGAGCTGCTTTTTCTGCTGAAAGAAAAGCCTGCATCTCATATTCCTTCATTTCCAGTGTCTCTGTTATTCTATTAAAGTTTTTTTAGGTGTAAAGCGTGCTTAGAATTTTTGATTCGTTGTCAAGTATCACATAGATTCCCACTTTGTTCACTCTTCATTTGTAGCAGGCTACATGTGTCTAGAGATATCCATATATAGATCATCTTACATAGGAAGGGTTGGAGATGACTCAGTTATTGATGATGACACATTAGTTTGAACTTGATGTGAGTGACGTAACTCTATCAACTTAGGACAGCACTAGTTATCTCGAGATTGATACTGGTGAGTGAGGACGGTGTATGCTGTATTATAGAGTGCTTTGTATGTTAGGAAGTGTTGATCCTTTCGATCTAAATGTTTGTGTTTGATGGATGAAACATTATTTGTGTATTGTAATCGTTTTTCTAATTTTATTAATGTCTAAGATTTGGCTTCATATCATCATAGTTCTCCCTATCAAAGCTAACATGGCCTTTAAAAAGGCGAATAAAAAACGTGAAAACTGTGCATTATTCATGTGCATACTGCTTTAGAAACCTTTAAAACATGTGTTTCGTGAATGAAATATTATTTGTTGATTTTGTTTGTCTTTGTTTAACTTATTTGTCATAATTAGCATGCTATTTTTCGTAGTTCCTCTTCTATTTTTCTTGATATCTCAGACTCCGCTTCATATCATCATAGCTTTTCCTAAGAGAGAGGTTCTGGCCTTCAGAAAGACCCATAAAAACCGTGGGAATTGAGTATTAAAACAAGTGTGAGGCGCCTTAAAAAACCACTAAGAATCGACATAGGCCTGTAAATCGTGAGGTATTTTCAGAGATACCTTCCTGAATATATTTCCTTTCCTTAATATATATTCTTCCTATTACTTAGGTCTGTAAGAGATTTTTTAGGAAGTTCTGTTTTTCTGTTACTATGTTTTCGCTTTCCTTTTTTTTGGTAACCCCTTTCTGGGTATATGCAATTTTTGGCCTCATAAAGATAGTAGGAGAGAAGCTTTATTGTACTGTAGAGGTTGAATTTAGTTGGAGTCGTGAAGAAGTTTTTTCATCATCGCATTAGAGCAACGGTGGTTACTTGAACACTGGTATTTGTTATCTTAATCTTTTTAATTACCCATTTTGTTCCATAAACCTTTCCAGTGAGGGTTTTATTCTCTTTAGTAATAAATTGACCAGAATATACAATAACTTGATGTGAAGAATGCTTTTCTTCCTGGTGATTAGAAGAACTGCTCATAGAGATTCCACCTTCTACTGATGAAAAAATCGGATCAGATATTGTGTGTCCACTAGAGAAAGCACTTTATGGGCTGAAGAAATTACTTCAAACATGGTTTGGGAGATTTAATAAGATTATGTTGCATATGGGGGACAAGCAAAGTCAAGGGAGGGAATCATATGCTTTTTATCAAACATGTTGAGGTAGTGTGTCCTCTCCAGACGTTTTCTTGGTGATTTAATTATTACTAGAAATGTTGAAGTCGAACAGAAAATTTTCGTTGATCACTTAAGTCCATGAATTTAAAATTAAACAATTGGAAAAATTAAAATATTTCCTTGGGATCAAAGTTGCCTACTTCAAATAAGAAGTCTCACTGTATTGTGATAACAAATGTACTCTCAACATTGCACATAATTCAGTCCAAAATGGTCGACCTAGGCATATAGAGAACGACAGACAAGAAAAGAAAAGCTTGAAGAGGGCAAGTTAGCTCCTCTTTAGTGCCGTCATGTGAACGACTAGCAGATTCCCAGACAAAGGGACAATCTGCTTCATGATTTCAGGAGCTAACAAGTGGGAATGAAAGATATCCATTTGTCAACTTAAGGAGGAGATGCATATCCTGAAATATTTTCAGAGATACATTCCTAAATATATCTTATCTCCTTAGTATATATATATTCTTCCTACTACTGTGGGCTGTTAGAATTTTTTTAGGAAGTACTGTTTTTCTGTTTCTATGTTTTCTCTCTCCTTCGTTTGTAAGCCCTTTCTCTTTCTGGGCTTAATTTTTTGGCCTTGTAAAAATAGGAGAGAAACTCTCCCAGCCCTATATGTAATTTAAAGGTTGTAGTCAGTTTTAGTAGTGAAGAATAAGTTCTTTCATTCTACCTAAATTGAGTTCTGAAAGAGGATCCGAAGAGTATAAGGGTGCCTATTGTGATTGCGGGGTTTCGAGAAAAATTCCATCTGACCCACTTGACTTTTGTGTTTATTCAGCCAAAACGCAAGTCCAATCCAGCAAACATTGACGAACTTTACAAATTAATTTGGACGATGATGAAATCAGAATGGTTAAATTTACTTCAGTTGATTTGTGTGTCAGTTTCATATCAATGTTCTCAGATTTTACAACGCCAAGCGTCCTATAGATGAAGCTGATATGACAGGGGTTGACACTTGGAAGATGTGGAAAAAGGTATGAGTACAATGAGCGATTATATACCCAGAAATATTATCTTGATTGAAAGGTTGACCCTATAATTGATGAATACCGACCGAATATTGGAGCCTTGGCCTCTAAGATTGAAATAAGATTGGAGTTGGCCTAGGGGTTGACTGAAAGTGTCTACTAACTGTAGTTGTCGGTCACCCCACTGATTACCATGAATGAATTCAATAAGATCGGAGTTGGCCTAGGGGTTGACTGAAGGTGTCTACTAACTGTAGCTGTTGGTCACCCCACCGATTACCATTAATGAATTCAATAAGATTGGAGTTGGCCTAGGGGTTGACTGAAAGTGTCTACGAACTGTTATCGGTCACTAACCACTTACCATGAATGAATTCAATAATGGCGGTAAAACTCGATGAAATCCATGCCTACTTTCTCTGATAAAGCTTCTAATGCACTTGAATGCATTCATGTAACCTTGGTAGACAGTTATAAGCTGTTAGTTTTGTTTTCTCTGTTCTTTTGATGTATAAGACCAAGGTAACTATTGAATGACACTTTGGCTTGTACTCAGAAGGTTTGGTTAGCCCCCTCAACAAAGCCAACCTTGATTGAATGCCACTATGGTTGCTAAATTAATCAGCTTTTTGACCTTGAACCCAAGATGCAGATTTTTTGCCTCATAAAATATTATTTGTCTCCATTAAACTAAACAGTTCTTCTCAATGATCTGTAGAATCACCTCTCTGATGTTCTGGTGCAGGCTTTGGTTGCTGACTTTGAAGTCTCAGAAGGCATACACTCACAGGCTCGGATTCAGGACACGGACTCAGTTTGTCTCTGGTTGGGAGCAAATGTCATGCTAGAGTACTCTTGTGAAGAAGTCGGTCATCGTCATCCTTTTCACCACCCAGTCATCCTTATTTGGGTAATTAATTAGCTGAGTCAGGAACATTAACGGGGGTGCTGGTTCTTGGTGTTACTCGCTTGAACTCAGGCCACAGAGCTGCTGCAGAAGAATCTTGAAAATGCAAGAGCCAGCTTGGGGGTTCTCGTCACCGATCTCCAGTTCTTGAGGGACCAGGAGACTATAACTCAGGTAATCCGCACTCTGCCTCCCTCTTTATGTGAATGAAGTGCCATTCCATTGATTCGAGCTTTGAAAGAATCGCCAGAACATTCGTTTTTGTTTTAATCAGTGGGAAATCTTGTTGGAGGACCAGTCCAGCTGCTAGAAATATATATTACTTCTGCTCGGAAGTTACTGTCAGTTGGAAGGTATTTATTGATCAATTCATGGAGAAAGTTGCTGAAAGATGAGAGGAGGAAGAATGTGACCCACCTGAAATGGTAGTCTGGATGGGCAAAGTGCTCTCCCCCAATCAACGATCCTTTATAAGTCTCTATGGTTTCTTTCTTCTCTCTCTACTGTTTCGATCATGCGGGACGGTTCTGCCCGCCAAAAGAAAAAGGGGTTCTGAGCATCTGGGTGCGGAGATTTTGCGCGTTAGGCAACTGGGATCTCTCTTATCTTGCTCATCTATTCATATCATGCGATGTTCTTGGATTCATTCTCCATTAATTGACAGAAGAGTAAACCTTGGGGAAAAAAAAAAAAAAACAGGTGACGATTGCCCGCGTGTACAACTGGGACGTGCACCAGCGCAGAATGAAGCAAGCCGTCAAGGACACCTGAAGGCTCTCCTCGTTGGCCCCACCATTTTTGGCGGAGGAAATGAGGACCATTTTGGCGTCTCAGCTTCCCCGTGCTTCAACTCCTGTTGCGTATTCTTTGTTTTTGCTATTTATGGACAAGGACCCCATATGTTCTCGGGTTGGAAGCTTCGGTTTTAGTTATGTTCTGTAGTACCCTCCCCCCTGAGGATCCTTCCCCTGTCTGAAATTAGCCATTGAGTCTACCGTCTCTCTCTCTCTCTCTCTCTCTCTCTCCAACTGGGGAGGGGGGGCGGTCGGGCCGCAGGCAAGTGGGTGCTCTGTCCACATCTGACGCGTCCCTTGCGCCTTGCGTGTTCGTTTTGATTCGGCCGCATCTGATTTGATTGGGGCTCGTCCACGAAGTCAACGCCGCTCCTCTCTCTCTCTCTTCATGTGGACAGGGATGCGTGATGTGTGCCACCACGTAGGAATTGCTAGTGGATTTGAAGTATTTCTTTTATTTTAAATTTGGATAAACAATGAATTTGGGAATTATTAATATTACTAAATAAATCGAAGGTGGGCCCACAGTGGCCGCCCCACACCCCCAACACCACCCCCTTCCCCCGCCCACATGAATAAATAAATCATTGCTCTCGCATGCCAGCGGGGTCCATAAGCTCCTAATAACAGGATAAAGGCAAGTGGGCCCCCACATACCGGTGACCGCCAGTAACCCTTCCCATCGTCGTGTTGCGGCCGCCGAAAGAGTCAACGTTCCGCCTGCATCAGCAAGAAGACCACGGGACTGGGGATTGGAGGCGTAGGCAAGCAGGATATTGACAGTGACGTTGGACGCGGAGACGACTGAGTCCCTTCTGTTGACCGGCGCCAGGCCTCGCCTATATACAGGTCGGGAAGTCGGTCAAACTTCTTTAAAATAATCTCTCCACTTGATCCTCACGTCGCTCCCGGTTTATTACTCTCCCTCTCCTTGCGGTCTCTGATCGAAGAGGATCTGGACGACCTTCTCTCTCTAAGCCGGCCCTCTCCGTCACTGTAAATGTGCTCGACTGAGTCCACTCTCTCTCTCTCTTTCCACATGGGAGGCGTCAGAGGGCATCGTTTGACGGAACGGGTCCAGTTTACTTGGTCAACCCACATCTTGAACAAAGACGACGGGCGATCTTCTGGCCACTGAGCCTTTGACCGCTCGACTGAGAGGAAGAAACCGAAGGAAAGAACGGCGGTTGGGAATGCGCTCGAGGCAACTGCGTGTTGACTGGTGGATCACACGATGGTAATAAAATAATCCTGCGACTCGCCACTGGACTTCATCTCCTCGATGCAATCATAAGGCGCCGCCAAACATGTAACGGCTGCATCGAGCGGTGGTTTATTTAGGTTATAAAGCTAAGTTACCAGAGCTGCTTTCTCAAAGTGATTAACACGGGGGACTTGGTTGGTTGGTTCATTCAACTGATCTTGACCAAGCTCATCTACATATCGACCTGATTTAAATGTTGGGTGCCTTGAAATGGAGGATGCATTCTTTCTTTTCTTAGGATTATGTCGGAAGAATTCACTATATTTATTATATAAAAAAAGAAATTTATGCTCAAGAATTAGATCATTCAGGGCATCTCCCGGTGTATCCAAAAATTTCACAAGCATGAGTCGAGTCTTCTGTGTGCATGCATGTGTAAAAAATAAGGCTTCTGCAAAAGTTTTTGTTAAGAGCAAAGTTTAAAAAAGGCATTTCCTGTTTTAAGTTTCTTGTTAAATTTAATGATGTTAAAAAAATTAAAAATATCGTGAGAAAATAGATGAAGGATTTTTATGGGGCATCTCATTAAATACGTAAGCAAAATTGGTAATTAGTAGGTTCCATATCCAATATGTATAAATAGGGGGGACCTATACCATCCGAATTGATCATAACAGCATGAAACAATGTAATTCTCAAATGTCAAGGAAACATCAGAAAAATGTGCCAAAACGTCAAAAATCTGATATTCAACATTCAATTCATAACAAGGTTTTATTTTATTTTTCTTGATCACTAGAACTATTTTATTCACTTTTTCCCACATTGGAAGCTATAATATTGCTATAATTAATCAAAATTATTCAAGGCTTTAGAAAACCACTAAAGATAACTTCTCCAATAGATTTATGCGTGATGAGCCTTTTATGATAGATATTATGGGCATTAATTTTGTGAATTTTTTTATACGTTCCAAGAAGATATAGACAAGGCTTTAAATTCTTAGCCATCCAAAGAAACCTCTCCCATAAAATTTCATAGGTGCAAAATTAGCACTTTTAATGGCAATAAATGGGAAGTTATTTCCCAACATTTAACACTGGTTCATGAAAAATAAACATTAGAAATTTAATAAGATTTTTCTTAAATCCCCCCTACATTTTAGGTTGTTTATTAAAATTCTTTCTTGCAATTAGTATTGAATGAAATGTCCATGTTATCATCCTCCATTTTGGTTTTAAGAAAGAGTAACAGTTGAATTTGTGTTCCGTGCTCTAAATATTAAATATTTTTAATGTCTGGTCTTCTAGTAACTATGTATTTCTATCAGCAGAACGAACGAATTTATTAAAACCCATCTAAACATTAAAGCTTTATAAATAACCACGAACCTAAGTAAGATATTGCTTATATTTATTTAATAAATATTATAAGGTATAATTTAATTATAAATGGTAAGAAAAGAATCAGTTCAAGCCGAAAGATCTTCTTACCTAAAGAACTGCTAAATATGTGATGATCAGTCATTTTATTCCTCTCTCATTGTGTATCTATATAGATATTACAGCCTTAACCAATCTACTACTAATAAAATAAATCTAGCATTCCAATAAAATGGTAATCATAGAGTTTGAGAAACCAACGATTCAGTTCCCAGTGAAAACCTTCATTTAGTTGCTTTTAAATCAATAGAAGAGCACTTATATTCTTTCATATCTTTCTTAGGATGTATACAAGGATTAAAAAAATTAAATAATCTTTAAGTGTTGGACATAAGGGTAAAAAAATCAAAAGCTCAAAATTAATGAGAGCATAACTATAACCTTTTGAACCATCTTGACAAATACTACAATGTGCATGTGCATGTAGATTGAATGGAAAGTAAATTAATAGATGCAATTGATTAGAAAAAAAAAAAAGGTGACTTTGATGGTCTCTTTGGGTAGCCTGTCATTTCTATTGTAATGCCTTTCTTCAAAATACTTCACAGAGCATTGCAATGTTGAATGGACAAAGTTATTTTATTGACACATTAGAACTTGCAGAGAGAACTTGTTATCCATTATGTAAAGATTGAAACTTCAAAAAGTGGTGATTTATTTGAAAAAATGATACCAATTGGAGGTACATTCTTCCAATCAAAAGGCTTCACACGTTATTTATATCCTACAAAGAAATGTTTAAAGAAAGGAGGTCTGATATATTCGAAGTCTGAAAGGCTTAAGATAATTTCCATTTATGACATTGGATAGTTGCTTTAAATTATTATAAATTGGATGTTCCATGATGTCTTTTGTTATAGCTCCTTCTAAAGAGTACTAATTATGCCTTCAAGTTAAAGAGGAACTTCAGTACTTACTGACATCCATCCATCCATCTTCCATTTTGATGGGATTATTTTTTGAAAAATCTGAATAACGGGATTTTAATAACTTGGTAATATGTCCGAATTAGTATGTAACTTTTGTCTCGTAGATAGAGATTGAGGCCCTCATCATAAATGATGTTTTCCAATTGTCAACGTCATAATTGCTTTCCCAACAAGAAATCCATTTAGTTTTTAATAAAAGTATAGTCTTGGTGTTAGGTGAAAATTTTCAACCAATTTTCCAGCTAAAATTCAAACTTTGTATTGCTTTGGATTTCAACATTGTTAAGTGTTGCACGACACATAATGGGCTAGTTAATTGGTCAAGCAAGCCCTTAAAAAAAACGGTTAGAAAAAAACTTCGGTAGGATCATAAATAGTGAGGTGTATATCTATATCCAAATCTCAAAATATATTGAGCCAATATATAAACCCTTCAGAATGACCAAGTTGACGCCTCTAGAGCCCCTACTTCCAGATGGGTCTTGAATGGCGGCGTATGCCCATGGCGACGGTCGGCCATTCAACTGGTCTTCAGTTTTTTTCCCTTTTTCCTTGTGTTTATCACTTGAAGATGAATTCTTGGACCGGTGGCGCATTTTCCACTGAAGATGTCATCATCCGTCAAATCCCCCTGGTGAGTCTGAAATTCTCTGTACGAAGGGGGAGCTGACCGCGTCACTAACGCGCTGTGCATGCCGGGCGGAGACCGCCGTCAGGGGAACACGTGAAACCCGGATTCTCACTTGCAGTACGCGCGCCACCGCTTCCAGCCGACGGCGTCGGGCGGACCCCGGCGCCGTCAGTGTCCCAGAGAGTAGGTGGTGTACTTTCCCCCCCCCGGTCGTTCCGTCTCCACCCGTCGCCGTCACTATCCCCGGAAGTCACCGGTTCACTCCCTCTCCCCGCCGATCATCTCCGCCGTCCGTAGTCGCCCGTGCACTCTCCGCCGTCAATAGTCGCCGATGCACTCTCCCGCCGGCCGTCTCTGGCATCAATACTCGCGGGTGAGGTCTCCTCCGCCAGTCGTCTCCGCCGTCGGTACTCACTGGTGCAGTCTCCTCCGCCATTCGTCGCCGTCAGTAGTTGCCGGTGCACTCTCCTCCGCCGGTTATCTCCGCCGTCAGTAGTTGCCGGTGCACTCACCCCCGCCGGTTATCTCAGCCGTCGTTACTCGCTGGTGCAGTCTCCTCGCGGTTCGACTATTGGTGATTCTCGAGTCTGAGGATGCAAATGTCATTGGAAATTATTTCCTGGGGCGCGCTGGAAAAACAAAGTGACGGCCACGTGTACGTGACCCTCGCCGACGAAAACAACGCGCTGACCGGCGGGGAGATTGCGACGCCCGTACGAATCCAGTGGGGAATCACTTGAAAAGCCCGACACAATCTCATTCCCACACACATCCCTTCCTCTCTCTATCTCTCTCTCTTTCTCTCTCTCTCTCTCTCTCTGTCTCTCTCTCTCTGTCTCTCTCTCTCTCTCTCTCCCTCCCTCCCTCCCTCTCTCCTTCTCTCTCTCCCTCTCGCTACCTACGAGAGAGCTCCGCTGCTGCGCATCTGGGATGACAGAAGGTTGAATGAGAGAAGAGGAGGATGAGGCGATGAAGAAGGGGAGGATGGAGGGACGGAGAAGGGGGGAGGTGGAAATGGACGATCTGGCCGCGTGGATTGGAGAGGGGCCGCTAATGGAGCAGAATAACGCAAGCGAGTTCTACTGCCTCCAGGCCGACGACTTCAAGAACGGGCCCCTCGACCTGGTCAGCCTCCAGCAGGAGCTCTCACCGCCGCTCGACTTCCCTCCGCTGCCGCCGCCGCAGTCGCCGCCGCGAGGCTTTCCGTCCGCCTCCGACGAGGCTGCGGTGCAGCTGCCGAGTTCCTCGGAGATGATCCACTTCCCGGCGACTTCGAATTCCTCTTCGATCTCGTCGTCGTCCACCGAGGCTGCTAACGACGGCAATCGGAGCAAATCGGCGGCGACAGTGGAAGCCGAAGCCGGGGAGGAGGAGGAGGAGGAGGTGAAGCCGAAGCAGATGTGAGTAGGAACGAACGATTCTCGACTACTTTAATTATTTTCAGATTTTTCGAGCAAAAATGCCTCCGGCTACTTTAATTCTTCTGCGCCTTCTATCACCTAGCGTTGTGGCCCAATTTACAGCGCTTGCTTCCCCATTTCAAAGATTGGTTTCCTCTCAAGTTCTGTATCCGATCCTAATCTAATGCGCGCTCTTCGTGCTTGCAGATCAAGGAAGGGAGGTGGTGGCAAGGGGAAGAAGGGACAGAAGAGGCAGCGAGAGCCGAGGTTCGCGTTCATGACGAAGAGCGACATCGAGCACCTCGACGACGGCTACCGCTGGCGCAAGTATGGCCAGAAGCCGGTCAAGGACAGCCCTTTCCCAAGGTCAAGGATAGCCCTTCTTCTTCTTCTTCTTCTTCTTCTTCTTCTTCTTCTTCTGCTTGAATTGGAGGAATTAAGCTAGCGGATGATGAGAGATATGGTACCAGTGTGGTTGGTGGTTTGACGGTGATTCTGGTTTGCATGGGTGCAGGAGCTACTACCGCTGCACCACCGTCAGTTGCGGGGTAAAGAAGAGGGTGGAGAGGTCGTCGGCGGACCCGACCATCGTCGTGACCACCTACGAGGGGCAGCACAACCACTCTAGCCCCGCAGGCCACCACCACGGCGCCAGGCTCCACCACGGTAAGCCCCTCGCTGCCTTTGGAGAGTCGCCGCCAACGCCGCAGCACTACAACTCCGCCTACTCCCTCCCACTTCAGCGACTGGGTTCCCTCCAGCAGCCGTCGCCGTCGCCGCCACCGGCGCCATATCCTCCTTTCAATGCCGCTGGCGGGAGGGTCCCTCGGGAAGAGCTCTTCCCTGGTTCTTCGTCCAGGGACCAGGGCCTTCTCCAGGATCTCCTTCCGCAGAATTTTGTTAGGATGAGCAGGGAGAGGTGACGGCCTTTGCTGTCCCTCCCTCCTCCTCCGTTAGATTTATCTCTTTATATACACAAAGCACACGCTGTGAATTATCCTCCCACATCCTCCACCAGATCCACTCCTATTTCTTCAACGGCACAATCAATCATCGCCCTCTTCTCCTCTTCCTCTTCTCCTTCGTCATCGGTCGCCATTCAATCGTCTGCTTCTCCTCTCTATCGTCGTCATCGCCCTCTTCGTCCGCCTCTAAATCCGCTGTTTCGTTCCTTCGCTTTGCCCATCAGATGCCGAGCGTAGGAAGAAGGGAGGTTCGCCTCCTTCTGCCCTGCCTTGGCGGCGATGATCCGTCTGGATAGTCTTAGACTAAGTCAACTCCCCTCCACCATGGCTGGGTGGGTCTCAGTTATCATTTTTTTATGTCGGGGGAGTTGACGTCCTTTCCACCGCGCTGACTGCCGCTCTCTCAGTGGAGAGAGAGAGAGAGAGAGAGAGAGAGAGAGAGATCCTCTGACTCGGTTGAGGTTGCCCAGAGAGCGAGGAGAGAAGCTCGCGGAAGCTACTCAGAACTTAACCGCTTGGGGAAACGCCCCTCAGTCGCAGAGAGGGCCGCTTGGTCCCGTCCCTGTCCGTCTTGGATGGCTCGCACGCAGTCTCCGCCCCCCACCCATGCAAGCCTGCCATCTGTTCCACTGACGTTACCTCTCTCTCTCTCTCACGTACGTTCACTCTGTGGGCTATAGTTACATCGGAAGCGCTCTCTCGCTCTAGGAACACCACTACAACTCCGGCGGGTGCGTGGAGATGTACTGTTCCTCAGACTTACAATGGAGCGAGAAAACGGAGGAAGCCGTTGCATGGAATAAGGCTGCGAGGCAGTGGTGGGAGGAAGGCTGGGAGAACGAACGAGAGAGAGAGAGAGAGAGAGAGAGAGAGAGGATGCCGAGGTCAACTTCAGAAGAGCCACGAGTTGAGGATGCCCAAACTTCGAATAAAAGTTATAAATCCTCAAAAACTGCTCAACAATGGATGACGGTGAACAAGAACCGGGGTGTGCAAGCCGCTGGACCAGAGAGTCAGAACTTCCGCCGGCGAGGGAGAGAGAGAGAATAATACATGAGTTGACCGAGGGTAGAGAAATCACTCTAGAGATCGGGGAGTCAACCCATTATTCTACCGAAAGTCAAAATCCTGGCGGACTTAGGACTGCGCGAGCTTCCTCCAGAGGGATCCCTTGGGCGCCGCGAGGGATTTGACCTTTCCGAAGACAAATCCCGCCTTCGGGGGGTTCCCCCCCACAAGCGTGTTCTCGTAAATCTCTTTGCACTCCTGAACCACCTGTTGCATTCCCAGGAAAACACCCACATGCTTGGTCATTCCATCCCACCAACCCAGATATTCTCTCTCTCTCTCTCTCTGTGTAGCTGGTTAGCGAGAGAGAGAGAGAGAGAGTGCATATGAGTGGGTCACTGGTATCCTACAGAAGAAACACGAGAGAAGGAAACAGCATTACCTCCTTGGCGTCCTTCCGGGGAATACCCTCTCTCAATGCAACGAGTTTTTCGACGACCTCCGGCTGCATCACCTGGATCTGTTAGATCGATGATCCAAAAAATAGCTAAAAAAAAAAAGAAAGGAAAAAGGAGAGCGAAGAAATCTCTTCCAAAGCGTGAATGGAATGAACGAACACACCGGGCAATCGGGCTGGTGCTCGAGGATGTTCGTGTACACGAGCGTGAAAGAATCCAGGCTCTCGGCAGACGCCAGCTCCCTCAGATCCACCATAATTCTCACCCTGTTCTCAATTTTCTGCCAGAAGACGAAATCCTATGAGCACCAACCCAAGCCAAGAATACTTCTCATCCTCCTCAACCTCATGCACACAGCAGCAAAGCTTTTAGTACTAAAGCAAGAAGAACACGAGGATCTACCCTTAAAGAAGAGGATCCAGCTTACAACTCGAAAGGACTCAACTACCTTGGTTTACCCATCTGGGTAATACCAAGGCAGCCCCATCTCTGTCTGGACCCAGCTCACTAGCCCAAGCGGAGACGACCTTGAGGATGGGATCAAATCATGTGTGCATGAAACTAGAGGGACCTTTCGTCGTAGGAACGAATCCATGCCAGAAAATGCGACAACTTGAATGCAGGACTTGGTGTCTTCATCTTCTAACACTAGAATGGCAGTTTCAGTACAGTTCAGATTGCATCCAGGATAAAGTGGGTGATGTGTGTCCCACTTGGGCACAGCGAAGAGAACCATTCTGGGTTACTGAGATCCATCAGCAAGGCCTCTTACAGAAGTTCATCCAGGAGCAAGCGTAAAACTATCAAGAATCAATCATCAGGCGTGTTCAATGCGACATGGACTACGTCAGTGAACATTAATATTATCAAGATCTGAGCCATCAAGCAAGATAATCAGGGAACAAGACAAGAACCAAGTGAATCACGAGAGAGGAGTATACTCACCGATATGTTAATGTGGTCCCTGAAAAAATCCATAAGAACTTCCTCGTCCAACCTCATGCGCTCAATCGTTTCTTCTTTGATGTACGTCTTCTACAATTGCAAATTGTAAGTATTGAAACGAACCGTGAAAATTGTGAGAGTCACTACCAATATTGTGTTAATGCAAGGTGAATCAGAAAATACAAGTAAACCTGTGTCAGGAGATGATCAATGTAGATAACAATGCTTTCCTCCAAGCAAGCCTCGACAAATCTCTTAAAGGATCTTTCTTCAATATACCTAGAGAGCAGCAAGAGAGAACGCCAACCCAGAGGAAATCAAAGCATGAAACTTGTTCCAGTGCCTCTGCAAGGCATTGAAATGGGGCATCCAAAATAAAATAAAATCGATCTTCAACCTCCACCAAGCTGCCATGGGAGATGCCAGCTCTAAGGGTGGTGCATGTTGATGTTTAATATAATAGTACAAAATATTTATCCAAAAAGAGGATTACCAGTGGTTCATCAAGAGATAAACATGAGCATCATTATCAAACCATCCAACATGATATATCCCAGCATGCTATTATAAATGATATATATATATATATATAACCTGTAATTCTATAAGAGAAAAACAAAGAATGGGACAATTAAAAATCCAACATTTTGCAAATCACAGAGTTAACATGATGCTTATCTACATGTGACCATATTCACAGGGTGCTCCTTTCTTTACCGGCTAATGACAAGACAGGGAAAAATGACTTGACTTGCATCAGAATCAGAAGGAAAAGGTTATTCAAAGATGAAAGGGTAGATCAAAGCTGCTCAACCTTATAATACGGCAAAAGTGATCCCTGAAACTACTACTAAAGCCATATAAAAAGCCGCCTGATAGCTGGCAACATTTGCATGCCATATCTCTTTGTGAGTCCCTGAGGATCTCATGTGATCCGAGGCTACTGTTGAATACTGATGACTAGTTGGCTGTAGAAAAGGAGATTTGATCAGGAAGCCATGAAGAACGTTGTCCCAAATGGCAACCCTGATTCCTAGATTTTTGCTATTAATTAAGTGAAATTTACCAACAACAGGTGAAACACCTCAACGAAGAATCCCCGTTAAGTCAAGCATGTCCAATTCTCAACTATGTAGATGCTGCTTATAACTGTCTCTTTTTAATAGAAACTGACTTTGGCAACGGTGAAAAATAAAAAATTAAGCTATGATTTCCATCACAGGGAGAAGAGGAACTGCATTTTCAATAAATCTCTAAATACCATGTCTATTCTCTCAGTAGAACAGTTGAAGACGAATAAAATTTTATTACATTACAATTATAGACGTCCTATGCTATAAGACTCCAACAACATTAAACCTTTCTCTTTAGTAAATCATAAACTTTTATGTAAAACAAGAAAGATGAGACAAAGGACTTACATTTTCACGTCTCCAAAGTAATCACCAAATGTTGCAACAAGGTACTCAGTAACCAATCCATCAAGCCAATCTGAAACATAGTGGTAACTACTTCAAACCTTAAATACTTCATTCGAAAAGAAACCCTTCATATCTACAGCATATGAGAGAAGCAATATTACACGGTGTGGCTAAATGCCCATGGATCAACGACTAAAAGCAACCCTTAAAAAAATCTCACTGTTTCCCCGAATAGGAAGCCTTGGCAACCTCCAGAGATGGTGGCAAAGCAATGACTCTCAGCAAGAACGGTGCAAAGCGCAACCAAAGCTAACAGCAAGGGAGGGAAATCAAGTTTCTAAACGTTCAAGTAAAACCACTACATGAACACAAGTTACGATGGTACTCAAATGAGATTGGCCGGAAGAATAGGCCAGGTTGGTCTGATCCAGATTAGATAGGCCAGACCGACCTAATCAGGGGATCAGATCTGCCAATCTGAAGGAAGACCCTGATTAGAGTTGAAGAATGAAAGGAAAGGTATTTGCACTCCCAAAAAGCGTATTTTTGCCTCAAATTGAATCTTGTAGTGTGCATAAACATCTATTTACCAAAATGCGACGTTGAGCAAACGGGTTTAACTAAAAACGTTTACACAACTCGGAACTTAACCCCAGACCCCAATACCACGTTTCGCATGGGTCTTCTCCTTTATTTGAGGAGGGGTTACTGTTCATCAGCAGGAAGCCTGCCAATGCAGCAGCCAATGGTAACCAATAGATGAGTTATTTTTCCTCTCCTTTATTTATTTACTATCATTCCTCGACATTCTCCATTCCTATTCTTTCCCCATTACACAATGTTGTCAAGTTACGCTTTCTGTATTCTTCCTCTGATAGCAGCACAATTGCTGGAAACCGGTGGACACGTTAACAGAAGGTCATATCAGTTGGAAAATAAAACCTCTCCCGAGTCTACTACTGGCATGTCAATTGAATTGGCAAAGTCAATCTTATTTGCTAAACTGACTTAAATATTCCAGCCGAAATCAGAACATCCCCCCCTTCTCCCCCCGCCTCCCAAGAAACAAAAAGGGATGCACATCATGCCTAACCACCAGACGAAGCCAGATGAGAATCAAACATACATGAAACAAGTCCAGTACAGACAATACATATGAGCAATTCCTCCAATCATCCAACAAGGGGAGTCCATGTTTACAGCGGAGGATATGGTGACCGTGTCAATGAGAAGTCGGTTGAATGGCTCTCCACCATAATTAAGCAAAGGGCGGCACAATGTACCAGGGTACTGACGCCTGGGGAAGGAAGATGCCCTATCCCTAATGAAAATACAATCAATGGGCTCTGGCATGATGGAGATGAGATCGCAGGTGACCCCAAAGGCTGCAAATAAGAACATTAAGGAGGCCAATGTAAAGACTCTGTCAGCCATGTTCCATGTATAAGAATCTCGTGCCAAGATCATACTAGACAGTGGACCAAATATGCACAGATCAAGCCAGTCAAGGGGCCCATTTAGTCAAGACGATCAACAGTCATTGCTGATGCTAGGGCTATTCATTTGCACCTCAGACTAACCCAAAAAGAAGTCGTGTCAGTTGGCACGGAATAAAGCACAAGTATTGATTCTATGATCACAAATGATACACCAAGATGTACCCTTGGATCATTGTAATCGTAGCTTTGAAACAATAAGTCGCACATCGTCTTCAAAGTAGAAAAGAATTTAGTGTATGACAACCATAAATAAGAAGTATTTTGGCGTATACCATGCATGTTGAAATGCAAAGACTGATAGTATTCATAGCATTTCACGTGAGCTTCAAAAGAATGTAAAGAATCGAGTCAAATGGAAACTTTCAGCTCTTTATCAACTATTTCACTGAAACTAAAATCTAAAAAGCTTCCTGAAACCTAAAATAACCTCCTGAAATAAAAAAGGATAGACCATACAAGGTGAAAGATGTTAATTTCAACATGGAATATTGAGCCACTACCACATCACACAAACCCAGAGAAAATCAGAATGTGTATGAGAGATTAACTAGAAGAAAACGTTGGTCCTAAATGAAATGGGAACTAAAGAGGAGAACCTACTTATATCTCTAGGTGTCTTCGTATCCTAATATCCATGAAATATAGTTTGATTAAAGTTCCAGAGAAGCTGGAATGGACACATGCATCATACTGAATCCCATAGAGAGTATGATATGAAGTCTAAATGTCCACAAAAATTGCAGATAAATTTATATGAAGATTTGGAGATTGTTCGAGCAAAAGCAGGGCGATGAGAAAAATAAAAAATATGACGATATTTTCAAAGAAGAAATTAAATTACCTTTTTGATAGAGTTTAGCAAGCAACTCTTGGACACCAGGATCCTCAAAGATGACACTAACAGTTCGATGAATAGCTTCCTAGCATTGCGAAACCCATTTCAAATTCATTGAGCAATAATTCGTTAAGAAGATAAAAATATTTAACATGGATATATTTATGCTACAAAACACTGTATTGACTATCCTAACAAACAGCTATAGTGACTGCTATCAAGAATCATAAAATCCTGAACTACATCTGAATGATGCTTTTGCAGTATCTAAGGCAACTTAATAAGGTACGTAAACACTTATTAATGATTAGAAATTTTGGATCCAAAAATTTTGCAAAATTTACTAACCCCCGGTATACCAGACATCTATGCAGCATGATTACAAGGTAAACTTTTTATGACAAGAGCTAAAAGTCACATATGATCAGTTTTGTGATAGGAAAACTGTCTTATTAATTGTTAGCTTGATCTGTGCGACCCTCTCAAAATTCCACGGGAAGGAGCCTTGTGGAGGAGAAAAGATCACATTGCAAAAAAATAGGAATATCAAAAAATATTAAATCAAAGAGAATCCCCTCAGGAAAAAGGCTGTCATTTTGAGAGAACTTTCAGCATACTAAGAACAGACAATATTAATTACGTTCAATCGTATGGGATAACTTTTATGGCCTCCAAAACTGATGGGATACCAACAACCTTAGTGAGAACATTCTGGGCAAGATGCACCATTTCGATTCTCATGGTTAGCTTGTGTCACTGATTGAATGCAATAAGTGATAGTACCCACTAACTATTTTAAGTTTTGCTGACAAACAATGGAAGCATAAGAGTATTCTGCTGGTTGAACTTGACCAATGAACTGAACCTTAATTTTTTTATACATAACGGTAAGGAAACTTTAGTGTGAAGAATAGTTTATTGCACACCACCGACATATTAATTGCAGAGATGGCATCGCTGAAAAAATACCACCACTCATGCTCTACTGATATCTGTGCTGTCCGTTAACTGGCATGATGGTATGATCTATAGCTAGAGGAAGACTAGGTGGTGACAATATGACTTGTTTTAAGTTAACAGGAACGAGGTTGCCCAGAAGTAACATTGTTAATCAAAAAAATACATTTTATGTGAAAACAGTTGAAGTTCCTCACAAGCATTAAAGATAGACAACTAACCTTTGCAACCTCAAGAAAGCCTTTGCAAGTATCTTCAAAATTGACCTGTCACATCAAAATAATAACTATTAATAACCCGGGATGCTGTACCTGAAGGACCAAATTGCACATGCCATTTTAATGATTTAATGAATGTCAACACAGCTGAGAGGGACCGCAGTCATGGATAAGGTTGTGACAGGAGCCGAACTCCTTGTAAAATGAGGGGTATTACCAATATCCAGGGAAAAATGGACAAAGGCAATGCTAGAGAAACGCATATAAATCAGTAAACTCAGCACTTATAATTCACCTCACGTTTGGCCAACAACTGAAAACTCCAGTAAGCTAAAATCACTGAATGATATGCGGAATTCACCAGGAGGTGAATAACAAGTGCTGAGCTCGCCAGAATTTTCACGCATGGATAAACCAAACTATTCTAGGCTTCAACTCATTTTCTTTCCCAAAAGATAGAAATTGACCAACTCATTCCAAGAGCTGCTTTCGGAAACTATTCCTAGGCCTATTAGAAGTTGAGTTAAGTTTCTCATAAGCTAGTCAGACGTTGTTTGAAAGCACAGCATCATAAAGCTACCTAATGATAACTAGTACAAATTATCCATTATTACAATTACATGTGGTTTGAGAATGTAGCATTTCATGAAGAATAAAACCTAATGAAATAACATGACGAATATTTATCCGAGTATTTAACCATAGAACCTGACTGCAGAATCTGAGAGCGATGTCAGCTCTTACAAAAGATGAATGAGAGTCAAAAAAAACTAGTGATATATATTCAACACAAAACTACTAGTGGGCAAATTTTATCGATACAGCATGGCTACAGTTGCCTTACTAAACACTTTCATATGCAGAAAAAACAACAAGAAATGGATAACTCATTGCCTAATAATCTAATACTCCATACACTGCCTAATCATTGGCATAAAACTTGTCAAAAATAGAAATCCAGCTAAGCAGCTTAATTTCTACCATTTTTTATAAAAATGTACTAGAAAAGACAATGAATGCACATGAAAGTTCACTGTTATGGCATGTATGAAAACCTGCTCAGCATAATTTGATGGAAGAGCCTCTAAAGTGCTGTTACTCAGCTCTGATGAAAGTTCATAGCAGTGCAGATTGTTGTTGATCTGATGACAAGAAATACAAAAACAAATTGAATAAGCTAAGCTCTTATAATGGTCTGAAAGAATTTCGATGCCTGGAAAACATTAAAGTTACCAACCACTGCACATAAAGGTTCTAAGCCAATATCAGAGGCAGGTTCCTCAAGCCTTTGCCTTTCAGCAGCTTGAAAATCAATCATTATCTAAATCAAAATAAAGAAAACTGGTAAGGAGAAGAAATCAGCTTTGAAAATTAAGATAGAAATCTTTAGTATTCATCAATCAATGAAAAAACAAAAAAGTTGAAATTAAAATAACATTAGCCATACTTCAAACAAGAGAAAATATAGTAATAGGTAACATATAGGAGACAAAGTTATTAAACACAAGCACTAAAGCTATAGCTATTTGCATTACAATGGTATACCTGTATAACAGCAAGTGCAATGCGATAAAGCATAACATCTGTGCTGTTTTCGCGGACAGTTTGCACATGCTCCCCTAAAATCCTAAACACTTCAACAGCAGCCGGTGTATATAGTTTTCCATCTTCTGTCTTCTTCGGAGGATGTATCTTGTCAGCGTCTAGAATATTTGTGTACCATTTCTACATGAGACATAGAAGGAATAAGAACCTTCTGATCTTAATTTTTTCATATATCGCTCTGATCATCAAGGTTTAGAAAAGTACAAGATAGATAGGATGCATCACCTGTGTAGTTTCCTGCACCCGTTCAACATATGCATTCATAAGAGGATCCATTGCACCACTTTCAGAACAAACTTGTGCTAATGACTCATCAACACCAAGTTCAATCAGAGCATTTTGATACTCAACAACCCAACCTGTCACCTAAAAGATGCCCACGGAGATATTAACAAAAGGGAAAGATGCTTTCTAGTTTTACATAGAACAATAGAATATGCATCTTTCAAATCATGTAGATAAATTGAATTTACTAATATTCAACTTATCCCACGAATCCTGGTTGTCCCATTGCCAACAAGAGTCAATAGACATCTAATAATGACATAGTTACGAGAATGAAAAAGGGTATGTGATGCAACAGTCTTTAATGAAAAAGAATCACGCATGCCTGAAACCATCAATAGTACCTTTAAAATCTCAATATTAGACAGTTCATTTGCCCGGTTGCTAAGAAGTCGAAGCATCTGAATAAACCTCTCAGTGTACAGATTGACCATGAGCTGAAAAATTTCATATCTATAACCATCAAAGTAAACACTCAGTTAATGGCAGGGAGAAGAAGAGAGAGCAGGGGGAACATGCAGATGCTAATATAATTGCCATCATTACACCCCATTACATTGTCATCTTGGGATAAACCAGCCAGTCCGGACAAAATGCATGCAGTAAATTCTATCATGCAATCTTGGGGGTTTGATCAGAATCAGTTACATCCCTACCAAGACAAGCTGATGCCTAACTAGAAAGGTCTCAGAGTGAGGAACCATGTTCAAAACCAATTGCAAAGAACCAGTTTCAGAACTGAGCATTCAAAACCAGAAAAATTCTAGAATCAGGCACAATGTTGTGGATTTGGCAGATTTACCGACTGCAAAGAACCAAAATCAAAGAATCTGGATTATTATAAGACTATCCTTCAAATGCTTCTGATTTCTGCAGACAATACTCCTATTATGACATGGAATACAATGTTACATAAACTAATCTTTTACATTTTGGACACAGCAAAATTGCGAAAAATTGAATTTCAGGCCTTGAATTAACAAGCCACAAAATTTGGAGTTGTGGGAGAATGGAAATTGGGCCTTGAATCCACAAGGCCCGAATTTCCCCACTCCTTGAATCCGCAAGGATTGATTTGAAGGATCCTTACATCCACAACAACCAGAATAGCTCCCGTGAATCAAGAAGGGTTGCTTGAATCAACAAGCAAAAGAGAAATCACTCAAAGAGAACGAAAAAATTTGCAATATCAAGATGTCCCTAGGGTTACAGTGTGGTGGCCTTTAAATAGGCTGAGGATCAGTTATGGTACCCCTAAAAATCGGATCAGTACAGGAAACAAATTCAGAATGACTTAAAAACAGGACAGTAATTAAAACTAAGACTCTGGTATGTTATTCACGCGCTTTATTTCGGCCTAATCTGATTTAGGGTCCTTTTAAGCCTCCTCATCTTTGTAGCTCACACTTCATGTTTCTAGGCTGCTTGGCCCACCGTTTTCGGCTTTCCTTGGTTCTGTGCATGCCGTTCTACATCATTTTTTACAACTTCATTTGAAGCCCTAAAGTTCATCATACGTTAGAAAAGCTAAAACCCTGCGTTTATCACATAGCTTCTCAAAAATCGTGGATTTAACATTTACATTTTAACACCATCCTACATATCTCTTTTAACACCATTACTCACTAATTCAACAAACTGATTAATCTATAATAAATATTCATTTATATACATTTTTTAAAAAGTGGTCCATATAACACATTCAGAGATAGAGCACGGTAAGAGTTGGTCAACTGATTCGTTTCCTCATATAGTAGTTCAATGCTAGATACTTGAGGAGCTCCTTTACCAACAGATTCAGCCAAATTCATCCTTGTTGTAAATATAAAGATCGGCACTTATGCAAGAATAACAGATCAAGATGGGAATGTTTTCGGGAAAAATATGCACTCAAAAAGCCGGAGCATTTAATGACTTAACCCAGTGAATAATAACAAATTGTAATCCTTCATGAATATTTGAGATGATTTTCCATCAGATTTAATATAAGTTACACATAATGAACACAATGGTAGAGAAATTACATTTAATCTGCCAAGCCACACAAAGTAACGACAGTAATAGATTAATTGGGACTACTCAAAATACCATGAAGAAAATAGCACACAATTAACTCTGGATGGGACAAACATATGGCTGAAAACAGAATGGCCAAGGCAATAGTGTGAAGAGGAGAAAGGGAAAAGGAACTAAATGAAAAGCAAACCTTGGAGGGAAACAAGGAGCGACATAATCGTAGATATCACCCAGTTCATCACCAATCTAGTAAAAGAACAGTATCAGTGTTTTGAATAAAATATAACATCTTTTGAATCAGATACTAAGTCAAATATATTTGTGGCTGTAGTTTAGAAAAGTTGTAGAATTCCCAGAATCCAGCAATTTAGATTATCATGAGGCAGTCAGAGAAAGTAAGATTTGTCAAACATCTTTCATATATAACATCGTATGCAAAACTTATAAAAATCCATCCATAACAATTAATCAATTTTCTAAAGTAAAGAAAGATCAAACTGAGAACGCACCCCATAATCAATGTCATATTCCCTTGGTCAAGAAGCATTACCAGATGCATATGATGATGGTTTCAACTGTTTCAGACATATGCTGTATTATATTTTCGAAGAACAAACTCTAAGCAGCTTAAACCAAATATATTGCTGATTGTGAGCGTACATAGCGAGAGGCAACCTCGAATTTGACTACTCAGTGCATTATAGGGTCACTAAAGAATCATAATTGTATCAATGACAGAGAATTCGCGGACTATACATACGTTTGCAATGATGAAAATCATGTTGTACACTCACTTTCCAGAAACATCTGATCTCAAGTCTCCACATCCTAATAATGAAAAATGAACGAGTACAAGACAGTCGATTTTTCAATGAATGATTTTCTATGAGCTTTTTAAACAACGAATAGAGAGAGCTGCCACATTCTGCCCCTTCACCGAAATCAGCGGCAGTTGCCACTGGGAGAAGTATTGAATTGATAGGATCCATTAATGGGTTTCAAAAGCAGAAAAGCAAGGTCAGGGAGTCTAGAGAGAAGATATGTTAAGGTTCATAGGTTTCTACTTCTTGGAGCACCTCTAATTATTGTGCCTCAGGTCTCTCTTTATTATCTCACGTGCCACGTGTCATGTTTTTCCTTTCCTGATTTCTGGTGTCTAGAACCTTCTGGGAGGGTCTGAATTAAATACCAGATCCCTGCTGTGAGTTGTAACAGGAGAAACATTCTTCCTCATTCTTGACTTCAATCTCCACCCATCTTGGGCGCGCATGAATACTTTGTCAAGTGCACTAGGAAAGTGAATGAGGATCGACACGACAAAAATTATAAAGTATCCAAAAGATCAAACGAAACAGGAAAATTTTCTCCTAAGAACATTTCAGAAATGATTCTTAATATGATATCAACTTCCACAATGATGATCATGGTGAACAACAATAATGATCGCTTGACAGGAGAAAGGTCCTGTATTTATAGAACAAATAATGGCATTAAAATTTACCGTTAATGATGACAGTAATATTTATAGAACAAGTTATGGGGACAGTTACCTGTAACTAAAAGATTGAGATTCTGGACAGAATAAGAGAGAGAGAGAGAGAGAGAGAGAGAGAGAGAGAGAGAGAGAGAGAGAGAGAGAGAACCTGTGTGTAGGAACATATACATAATACAATAAAATTAAGCCAAGACTTGTGGACGCTTCACAAGTTTTAAATCTACTCCATGAACACATGGGAACTCTCACATCACCAAGCTAGCTATCATGTAAGGGGAATTCTCATCCCCATGTCAGAGATTTTTCTGAAGACTAATATCATATCAACATCTATTTTCAATCATGGGTATGATTTTCCTGTGTTATTTTGAGTACAGGTTAGTAAACATGCCCGCGCCAAAAGTTAATACTCAAATCGACTTTTCACTGATGATCCAAACCAATGTTAGATGTCGTGTATAAGGACGAAATGTCATTCAATCCAAGATAGAGAATAAAAGAAACCGTCATCTATAAGGATGGTGTCAACATTATTTCACCATAATGAACTCAATGACCTACATGGCCTCAAAATTTGAAGGGTCATGGGTGAAGATGAAAAAAAGATGGCCATCATGGAGAAGAAAGGAAAGAGAGAGATTGGGAAGAATTTTCAAAAAGTTTCCATGATATCCCCATTCATCACCAACCATGGTAGAACATTCATCCCTCTTCCTCGTCAAGGTAGTAGAAGAGAATACATGACAGGTCAACCACGGTGGCCGAAAAAATGAACACTCGTTTCCCATCCCCAAAATAATTCTAAACTAGAAAGAAACACTCTCCTGACCTCAAAGATTAGAGTAACCCCTATTTAGCATGAAAAGTTATGCCCTCACCAACAATGAAGAATCTTTGGGTTCTCCTCTCTCCCCCTCCAACCACCCCTAGTTACCTTTCTTCCACACGGGAGATTGATTCCAAAAAAATTAATGACAAAATGATATCCCAGAAGATTTTCTGATGGATGCCAGCTACTTCTTCCCATCTACAAAGAAAAAAGACTTTTAGGGTTTTTAATGTATTCAAATCGTTGATGTAATAATTAGATAATGTTTACTGATGTGAGGTCTAACAAACAGGTCAACCATCAATTTTACTAGCATTGAGTTCTTATAACTAATTCACAATCTGTTGGTCACTACAAATTACTTAGAAAAAAAAAATAAAACACTATTACCCTGATTTCCGCATATTTGTCCCATTGGAACATTAACAAAATAAAAGCCAACTTCAACTCAATCCATGGAAATGAATTTGGACATGGAGCGGATCAAGCAAATCTTTATGGCTTTTTTTAGGAGCTCAGAGTGGGTAAACCTGGGTACTTAGGACAAAATGCACACATTCTGCAATTGGATCCATGTATCAACTGACTTACCAGTAACAGACCAAGCATGTATTCACACACAATGAAGAGTAAGAAAGAAAATTAAGTTTCAACTTTTAAATCATGAAATAAGCTAATGATTCTGAGATGCCCAGGACTATGACCAAAAAGGCATGCGATCATCAACGTCATATGAGCAAGTTTTCTCGGTTTCCCGCAGATGCAGTCTGCCTTGACATTACAGATCCGCCTTAGCTCAATACTTCCTTTTTCTGTTCACAACATAACTATAATACCACACAGTAGTAACACGCACATGAGAAATATGTACAGATAGTAACATACCCTTCGAGCTTCCTCTAATGCAGCTTTTAGATCCTCAAACACGAGCTGAAAACATTGACTATCGTTAAGACTATATATCCTGAAAATAATCTCAGAGATCGTTTTCAAGAAAAACTAAACAATCTGTAATGCAGATAATACCTTTGATAGCAAATTATTGAACCGTTCCTCAACAGATTTCCTGATTTGCTCATAGCATTTATCCTTGAAACCTTTTCCTTGTGTCTTTAGCTTCTCTTGCATGATATTTCTTGGGGAAGCCGTCACCCCTGTACCTTTCCTGCATAGAAAGACAGCACCATATCAAACCTGAAAAATTAAGACTCAAAAATTGATGATCCAATTCAAAATGGGATGAAGCAAAATACGTGGGTAAAACTTCATTTGACAGAATAAAAAGCATACAAGGAAACAAGAAATTGAATAAATATGAAACACTAAATGAACCATCTGCCATGATGAATAGTTTTTTGTGGGAAAAACGTGTAATTAGGAGTTTGTTTCTGTTAGTCAGTTTCCTAGAAGGGAAGTTTCCAAGTATGCCAGTCCCCTAGTCTTTTGGTTTCCTCGTTGGTCATTTTCCTTAACCTATGTAGTTTCCTTTTTTTGTGGCCAGGTTAACTATATATAACTAGCGATTGTTCCATGATTTGAGAAAAGAGGAGATTTTTCCTGACTGTTTACCCTTGTATGGTTTTCGTCAGTTTTCAGTTTCATTTAAATCAACAGAAATAAATGCCCAGTGTGAAGTTTCCTTTGTTATGTGTTCATGAAGTCAAAATAATTAAAAGTGTTGTTATTATAAATGAATAAAAAGTACAATAAATGTTGAAAATATAAAAATAAAGTTGCTCATTAGAGAGTGATGGAATCTGAGCAAAATTATACAACATATCATGACAATAAGGCTAAATTTATATCATGCCTCACCCAAACAATTTACATATCTCCGTTCAATGGTAAAGTCAACATTTTTAATACACTCATTCTAGCAAAAAGCTGTCAACAGGTTTAGTAGACGTGGTCTATCAGCAGTCATTATCAGTAACATAGCCTATACAAAAAAAAAATATAGATGGATACACGATAAAATATACTCAGGGATATCATAATTTGTCCAAAAAGGGTAGCAAACTATCAATAGTTAAAAAAATTCCCTTCCTAAACAAAGAAAATAAGCTAAGTTCAATTTGGATTACATTTAATGGGGATCAGATTCGTAAAATTTGTAGACAACGTTTTGCAATATTTGTATAGGCATCAAATTGATTTTTCATTTAACCCCAAACCCCAATAGAGTTAATTGATTAAGAAAATACCAGCATATTGACAATCTTCACAAAACACTGTAGAATATAGTAGCCATTACTAACTCTATTATATAGGGACGAGAAAAACATGGGCAGGTTGCATCTCTGACTTTTTTTCATGAGATCATAAGTAGCACAAGAGGGATCAAGTTTAAGGAGTTCAAGAGAATATCCTACCTGATTTCAGAAAAAATGCTAAAGAAACATTGATTTGGATAAAATATTGGGAACACAGTGAGACATGGATGATCTCAAAACTCAGCAATGCAGCTCCCAAACTTGCCATTTTAAGGATGAATGCTGAGGACAGGATCTTTTCAATGACCATTGGTCATTTTCAGGGTTTTTTTCACAGAAAAAATTGAAATGTGAATGCAATTGTGGAATGAGGAGGAAAGAGAAGAATAAGGGGAAAAGAAAAGAGGGCCTTTGGAAAGTGGAAACAGCAGCAGCAATAACTGACAGTAGCAGAATCAGCAGTATGGTAGTTGCGACCAGCAGTGGTAACACAAACGAACAATTAGAATGACATCATAAATGTGGAAGAATAAATATGGAAGAGAAAAGTGGCCTTGGCAAAAGCTGCCACCCATGTTCATATCCGCTTTTACTTCTGCCTCCAATGAAGACAACCCACAGTTGTCTCCATTCCCTGATACAGCACTCACACACACACCATGGCACTTCGTGAATCTCTGATTTTCAAACTGGGCAGAGGACATCAAAATGGTGGAAAGAAATGGAGAAAGTTCTATTACTTATGTAAATACTTATGAGAAACTTCTATTTTTGTGCATTAAACAGTAGTATTTCACACAGATAATTATTAATGTGCTTTTCACTTTTTAGTCTTCATTTTTCTTATGGTACATATCACATTGATTCCAGTCAATTCAACACTGTCAGCTGGAGTAGCAAGTAATCCAACCTTGTTTGTCATGATCAAAACATAGCATGACTAACACACCTGAGCCTAATGTTCACCATGAGTCAGGAAGTCAAAACAAACGATGAAAAAAATGTATATCGACCATTTCTTGCTGTCAACCATTGGAATTAATGGAGTTCATTTTCTAGAAGCGATTTCAAATGCTGCTCCTCCAAAAATTAGAAACCCTCGTCTTAGAGTGGAAACTGATTAAAAATAGCATCTCCTATGCAGTGCTCAAGAACCCAATCAAATATTTGATAATTTCATGGATAACGTTGAGGGAATCACAGTTATGAAAAGGACAAAGCAACATGAGTGATTGTTCATTTGGCTGATAATGGTCTTCTGCGTAGCCACATCTTTTAGATGTGTCGCATGCATTCAAAGTCATTGCATCTCCCCACATGGACCCCTGCCAAGGCGCATGTGGGTTTTCACCATTCCTAGATTTAAACAAAACAGGAGGGAATATCATATTGACATATCAAATGTCAATTAGGAACATGGAAAGCGATTTCAGATGCTCTTAGATTGGCCAGAACCATTTTCAACAATGAAGCCTAAAAATGGGTTTTCTGTTTCTTTTCCAAAAGCTTAACTAATATGTGACGATGGTTGAAATATTAGTGATATTCCCCATCTTGCACCTTTCTAGTCCGTGTTTTCTGAGAGATGAATCCTCATGATAACCCAAACTATTCTGCTTGATAACCCAAATCAATCATTTATGCTTCAAAAAATTGACATTAGTTCATGAAAAAAATATTAACCCCCCTTTTGACTTTCAGCCAAATGCTTTTCAATAGTTTGTTGTGACTGTGCTACCATTATTGATAGATCAGCTTGCCAGTACAGCAACACAAGATTCATCATCATCTTCATGACAATCACCCGCATAATATCTGACAGAAGTATTAGAAGCATAATATAGCCTTCTTCAAAAAATCAGGAAAGATTATTTTGGTGCTACTTTGTAATTACATGAGTGATACAAAATTATATATCCACGGGAAGTTATATGAAATGAAGAAAGTTCAATCAGAAATTACTTATTAGATCTGCGGGGATTAGCAATTGATGCCATACTGCCACCACCTTCCGCCTCAGCTGCTTCCTCAGCTAGTTGCTGATCAAAAATTTCCTGCATCTCTATTACTCTAGAAGGCATCAAACAATTAGAAAACCCACACTGCAAATCCAATATGTTCATCTACAGCAACAAACTCTTCCAGATATTATCATGAAGAATGAAACAAACAGGAAACAATAACTGAAATATGGTGTATCGTAGGTCTAGCCATAAACAGTTAACATGCATACGCACATTTTGCATGATTTTCGTCTTAGCCAATCTGGAATGAAAAACTAACCATATTGAAGTCACAGAGTCATGTGACTAATCCAATACCAAGGGACAAAAATATGCTGTCCTCACAACTTACAAGAGCTATTTTTTAATAACAGAGGTTCTTTAAACTCGTGGAGCACCATAGTAAATTTAGGTAATTTATATTCTTTTCTTCTTCTGGTGAAATGTTTTCCGTACTTATTTGCACGTATGACCTTTTGATTCTTCATTCCTTATGATCCCTGAGCTTCACCGATTTAAGCTGGAACCAAAATTGGCCACCATCCTAATCCGATACCATTCTGTTTTTTATCTACTGCTACCAGCATGTACGTTCTACTACTGTATTTTCTGATAGCTAGTTTGTTTTCTATTCACCCATTCTAGATGCACCCATCCTTCTTTGATGTTAAGGCCTAATTTAAACTAAAAACATTAAAAACAAGCAAGGCTGAAGCTTGCAAAACTATACCAAAATAACTATGGCTGTTCCAGTTTTGCCAATTCTCGGCTCAAAAAATGGGCAGATATCCACAATGCAATGTTATGCAAAGTTTTAGCGTTCAAATGTTTTCCTACTACCCTTTTGTCACGAAATACGCTGTAGGAATGGCATAGCACATATTTCAAGCATGGTACACATATCTCATGCACGTACGAGATCTGCATGCAAAAAGAATTCTACATACGTCCTGCATGCCACAAACTGGATAAGCCTGGGACAATCTAATTGGGATCAGATTGTTCAAAGAAAATTTGCAAAATGGGAAAAAATGAAAAAACTGATATCATTGGTCTTAAAAGTGTACAGTTAAATTTTTAAAATGGATAAAAAATAAAAAAGTTTGGAATCAATTTTATAGAATAACAACCCCAAAATATAATCGTCCCTAATGCTTCCCCCAGTTTTCAAGGACAAAAGTAGGGAAAGGTGGCAATAGGTAGTAGCAGGTGGTGGTGGAAGGTGGCAGCTCATGGTGGTAAGAGGGAGAGGAAATTAGTAGCCGGTGGCAAAGGTCAGCTTTATTTCCTACATACTCTATTATTTCAACTTACAACAACAGATGTTGCATGCAGTCTACCTTACTTTTCCTCCGTTGCTATCAAAATGGCCCAATCAGACGACTCCACCAACAAAAGTGAGATCAGCCAATTCTACCTGGTCCTTTTTTTGCTAGTATTTTCAATTTCAAGTGAGCATCCGATCAAATGTCAGTTTTATCTCCTACCTTGTAATTTCAGCTGAAAACAACCGATGTGGCATGCAGTTACAGCCTACTTTTCCTCCTTTGCAGTCTAAATGGCCCAATCAGACGATTCCAACAAAAAAAGTGAGATTAGCCAATTCAAGCTGGCTCTTGTTTCGTTGGTATTTTCAATTTCAACTGAGCATCTGATTTCAACCCATGAAATCAGATCAAATATGCCCAATTTCAACGTAATTGACCAGTTCAAATCAAAATCATCTGACTCTGCCTTCAATGTTCACAACGCACAACAGGATGTCTTTTCTCTACATTTATCGGATTTTCTATCTCTTTCCCTCTCCCATGTGTTTGCCATGGAGCCAGGTTAACTTTTCCACCATGACCTTCTCACTGGACTGGGTCACATTTGGGGGAGGTTTCAACAATCCTAGGTCCTTTTTGGCTACACAGATGCCATATTATATAGCAACAGCATCTCTGTTTCGGCAACTCTATGAGCATTCTTTGAGGGAACTTTGGAGGCTTGTGTTTTTAACAATCATTTGCATAGGAGATTCAGAGATTCTTGGCTGCTCTGCGGATTGGATAGTTTTCAAACTTGTCTTTTGGATTGGATGCTCAGCATACCCAAAGGTCCTTTGATGCTTTCCATAATATAACTATCTACCTTGTAGGACTCCTTCCTCATGTGCTTGATTGAGTGATCCTCTATTATTCTCCTTCAGTTGATTATCAGAGGCAGAAACTGGAGAGAAAAACATATCAATTATAATTCTTACATTAAATATTTGAGAAGCGACCTTAGCTTCACAAGTGTAGGTGCAGGGATGACGTTCTAAACTTTATATTACAACCCTGCAAACTTAAAGATGATGCTTTGCACTGTCTTCATTTTCAATCTTGACTATTAGCACGATGAAGTTGAGAAATATCAATCATGCTTCATCTTGTCTTCATCAAAAAGGCTCTGAACATTTATTTTCATTCTTGCAAACTGAAGGATGATACCTTCCATTGTTTTAGTCCAGATTTTGTAGGATGCTAAAGCTGAGAAATATGTCTCCAAAGGCTCTGATATTCTAAATAATAAGCGATCGCCAATCAATCTTGCCCATAATAGGCTTCCTTCGTCATGAGTGAATAGCGAATTCGAGCTCATTACTGCTTTGATTTTCCAGATGGTTATGGGTTCCAGATGGTAGTTGAAAAAGTGGACGTCCAGGTGATCATTTCTTCTTTTCGATATTTAGATCGACTTTTACTAATACTCCCATGATTACTTAGAGATCTGCATCTATTGACTGCTAATCATTCCTTGCCTTTTCAAAGTAGCCAGAATGGATAATAAGTTTCTACCACACATTGTACTTCAGTAAAGACCAGATGAAGTCAATTACAAAAAATTATAGCCCTCCAGTCCTATATTTCACAGAGCGACCGATAATTAACTGAAAATTGAAAGAAATTTAGAGATGAGATTGAAGTACAAAAGAATTTTTTTAAAAGAAACAAGAAAGTTTGGAAACTTTTTAAAAGCATAGCATACCTTAAAGCCCGGACAAGAGTCTGTGGGCTACAGAAGAAACAAGAAAGAAAAAAATCAGGTCACACACAGGAGAAGCCATAAATTTATTCCAAAATTTAAAACCCACAATTTTTTAAAAAGGAATGAATACATAAATTAGCAACATGTAGTATAGAACAATAAATAATAGCACAAAGTCAAGTGCAATGGCAGTAGACTGTACACTTTCTTTTGTCTTATAAAATCAGAGCAAACAATGACAGTTAGGTCTATACGTAAGAACAATCCCACATTAAATAGCTAATAATACAATTGTATTCCATGAACAATAATGGAAACATGTATGAATGATACCTAAATGCAAGGAACATTAGAAATAGCAATAGTACCTTTCCTTAGCCAGCTTGAAGAAGTTTGCAATGTGCCCCCATAATGTTCTTTCAAATGTCTCCCATGTTTGGTCGACATCTTCAAAATACTCTCTACATACAGAAATAAAGGAATCATTAAAAACAAAAACAGTAAACCAGGGCTCTCCAGTGACTCATACAGATACAATGAATTTATGGTACCATCTTCAGAAAAAATCATATGGACAAAGAACCTCACCCATCACCTCTTTGTCATAGAAAGACAAATGGGATTTATAAACTATCATCTGGCAGATTGAAAAGAAAAGAAAAAACATGCAGTCCTCTCATTCACATTCAAAAAGTTTAGCTATCTGAACGTTTGAAAATCAAACATAACAATAGATAAATGTGCACCAATATAACAATGATACATTCGTTCTATCAAATTTCCAAAACAAATCCATCCACCTAGCCTGGAATTCTTCCTAGGAAAGCGAACACAATAGAGCCAAGGTGCATTGCCACTCATGGACTAATATACACCAGCCAGGATCACACGGAAGTTCTGCCAAATAAACAATTTGGTCTCTGCCAATGTTTAACAAGATGGTACGAGAATCCCTCAGTCAATATATCACAGCCAACAAAGTAGTTGCAGAAATTTTCATTTATGAACTATTGCGTCATTTCAGAAGACATTATTTTAATCGGAAGTAGACACCCAATTCACTGATCATAAGATGACATGTCCAATGAGTCTACCTATCTTTTACACAGAGGCACTTAAACGAACAGAATAATATTTAACGTGTGAGCGTATCAAGGACACTAGATTCGCATAAATATTTCTAGAACATAGAATAAGTTTGACACAAGGGATAGACTAAACCATACATAGAACTTAACCTAAAACCTGAAAATAACCTGTTTGCCAAGAATATTCTCTTCAAAACAATGTTTCATGAACTCGAGTCCAAAGTCAGACTACTTTTTTGCATGAACTATAGTTCCCATTTTCAGTGGACAACTTTGCTTTACAATGAGCCATGTGTACCCCACTTGCAAGGGAAAGAAAGAAGCAGAACAAGAACTGATACCTCAAGACAGGTGAAAAGAAAAGTAGATCTTATATTATTACTAAGCTGGTAACATTTCATAATTTAAAAGCCGATTTCCCATAGGAATTGCATTTTGAGGTGTATGATTGAAAATCCATCTCTGGCATTAGAATATTCTTCTCTGAATGGGATCGTTCAGGATTGGGTCCTCCAAGATGATCCACCTCGGTATCAGTCCCTTGAGAAAGAGAGAGAAATGCAATTATCCACATACAATAGAGAAGCTCGTATTTTCTCATCCTTGAAGACTGAATGGTATCTGCTAAAGACTCATACAAAAATTGTATTTTTGTATGGTTTCTCAAGACCAATAGCCGGAAGGTACTGGAACTCATGAAAGAAAGGAGGAAAGAAACAAAAAATATCCATATTCACTTGGGGTAGATAATAGGTTAGATGGTTAAATCGTGAACTAGTCTATAAGGGTAATTGAAGTCAGCAAATGGGAAGAGAAAAAGGAAGAAAGAAGCCACTAGATCGCAAGAAACCACTGCCCACATCTATCACTGCCACTAGTCACTCGCTCAACTGTCTATCACTCCATATGCAGCAATCAGCCTCAGCAGATGATAACAGCAGCCACATGAAAGAATTTCATTTTTACTTATTCTCTGCTTTTGAAATTCATCGACAAGTCTCCTCACATTTTAAATGGTCATTTCCTCTGCACCCCAAAATGAATAGAACCTAAACAGTCAATACCAGCACTTTTTAACTCGACTTATACTTGTACCTATTATTTTGCTTTTATCTTTAATCAAATAATAAACCATAGTTAGCACTACTCAAGGATTATTCAAATAAACCATAGTCAATACCAGATTTTGCCTTCTTTTAAAATTTTCCTCTTTCCCTTTCTTTGATTCCAGCGAACACTGGATCAATGTATACACTTTTTTCAATTAACTTCACTTATAAAAATATCTGTCAATCTTCACACCAACGTCTAGACACCTCAACAGCCCCCATGTAGTGACCTAAAATCTTCTGCAGAGGACTTCCTTCTACACTCATTTGCCTGTGCTCTGGCCCTTCAACGTCAAAATGATGAAGCTTCAATAGAACTATCATCATGAATTCTATGAAAAAGGAAAAACTAAGTTCTTCAACAATCATTAATGTCTAGAATAAAAAACTAAACTTTTAAGCCCCAAGAAGTATGAGAAAAAGCTATTCACTCAAATAGAGTAAATTAAAGATGCAGTTATGATACTAAAAACATTTTACTATAGACTAAATTACCACGGGGTCCAAGACAACAATATTTTCAGGATCCGAACATTAGATTATATGAGCACTAGATTATTGCATTTTGTCTCTCGTTCATACAAAAATTGCAAATTAAATTGTCTCTGATCCATTCCATTTAAAATAACCTAGGAAGTTCCAAGAATCATGTTTTCAGGTAGTACTACAATGAGTATTAAACTAGACAATCTATTAAACCAACTCAATTTAAACAATGTCAATCAACAAAAAGCACAAGACCAAGATGATACCGCCCAAAAAAAAATAGTGAGTTAGAAATGCAATCCAGCAGTTTGAGAGGATACATCATCAAAGTTAGAATACACTCCAATAAAAACCAACAAAATCAACATCCGCCAACTGAAATGCAGAGGAAAATACATTCTTACCTTAACCTGCCAACCTCTTCTTTGTGTGATCCCGCAGCAGCTAATGCAAAACGCCTCTTTCCATCAAGAGCAGTTAACCTCTATCTCCAACACAAATAGAATACAAAAAAAAGAAAACACATAACTAAAAAAAGCTTCCTCCAGATCAAGTACACAGTATCATCTACTGCCTGTAGACTTGGTAAACTGTATCATGAACATCGTTTATACTACAAGTGTTACCTCAAATGTATTAATCAATTCTTTGTCATCACTTAATGATTCACGGGCTGCAGCAGCTTCTACAGAAATAGACATCATTCCTCCGACATCCTATGTTAGAAACAAATTAGGAAGACAAGAAATTTAATGGAAAAGAAGTAGAGAAAAAATAAAAGAAATTATACCCAACTATATAACTCTTCACTGCGACAGAGTACACAAGATATTGGGATATGACAAAAATGACAGCGTTCTAACTCAATTTAATTGGGATAGTGTTTACAAAACATTCAGAGAGCAAACAGCATTCTACAATCACATCAGTCTGATCTTTCTAGGCAAACCTTTATAGTCGTGTTTAAATTGTTCCTTGCATTGCTAAGGAGCTTTATTTTGTCATGATTTTCAATCAGATTTTGGCACTCTTGGCACAACCTGGTTCACCAAAGCAACACAATTAATATCAAATGCAGAAAAAATTATATTTTCAGAAGGACATTATTTATCACTTTAAAAAAATTAGATATGCCCACATAAAAAAAAGATAATACAAAAAATGTTAGATTCATACTTTTCAATGGAAACGAAATTCCCCCGGAGCTCATTTATTGTTTTTTGTGATAAACCAAGTGACTCTATGCCAGCTTGTGCCAGCTCAACCTGTAAAAACGCAACAGTTTATGAAAAAAATCTGTGCTCAGCAATGAGATTTGTCAACAACATTTAAATGCCACCCTAAATGTTTATTTGTCCTTTGTTCTGCCCTGTTATGCCACTACCCTTTTTCGGGTCATCCACTTGCCCATATACTTTTTGGATTAACCATAATAAGAAATTCCCACTGCTAAAGTTCTTCCTACATTCTCAGACCATTAGTGTAGAACAAGATCCTTAATGTAACACTGGATCACTAAAAAACAGAAGATGTAGCCTCAAGTATTGGATGATACACATTTTTAGTGATTAACCTTTTTCATGCTTACAAGAAACTTTGCCCAGAAAATCAAGGTTAAAGCACATAGCACAATAATGTTGTCACCAAACAAAGATAAGTTCACCTGTTCTGCAACCATTGTGCTGAGTTGTGCATCATTTGCCTGAAAAGAGTACAATGAACGTCACCAACTCAGATATTCAGCAGATCTGTGAAGAAATATATCAAGTGACAGGAAAAAATTTGATTCAACTGATGCATACTGAAAAGAAAGCCTTTATTCTCTTTCTTTTACCAATTTTTACGCTTGTTTCTTCCCTAATGTATCAAAGAAAGAGAAATAAAGGGGATGAACTGCAAAATTAGCTGATCTTGGGAAAATCCATAGACACATTTCATCTTAAAATGCTAAAGTATAAGAAGTAGAAATCCTCACTATAAAAAAAAAAGTGAATAGAACCAGATATTCATTATGTATTTAAAAGAACGCTGAATATCCAATGTACTCTCAAAAATCCCATAGATAACTTCTCTGTGTCTGATCTAACATGCCATATATCATGCATGTTATGACCCCAACTCCATCCAAAATAAGGAATAAGCCCTTTTTTTCATCGCAGAAGTTCATACCCCACTCCACTCTAGATCACTCCCTCTACTATGAAAATTCTATAGCTGAAAGGTTCCATCTTTCCTTCCATTTCAAATAGTCGCATGCAGAATAAGGCACCGGAATTGTGTATCACCTTTAAGAAGCCAATATTGAGATAATATTGCCACAACTCTACTTTGTCACATGTTTTGATACTTGATTTCATGAAAAATGGATAATCCGTTTCCTATCAGTTCGTTTCATAGTTAAATTGTTCACAGGCAAAATAAGAGTTTTCAATAAGATGAAATTTTAACTAGTTCTCAAATAACCTTTCCAATATTTTTTTTATTCAATGGTTTGCAGAAACATAGCCCACAATCAAATAGTAACATTAAGAATCCAAACATACGTGCCATGCAGTAAAAGGCTTGAATATTTTCCAAAGAAAGCTCAGGCACACTTTCAGGGAGAACGATATACAAAGACAGAAAATGCAGATCACGTTGACCTACAAGGCTGTGGGAACTATATAGTTCTTGAAAACACCCTGAACAAGAAGAGAGCACAAGAAGAGGAGCAAGAAGCAAAAAGTACAGTGAAGCAGTGTAACAATGAACGAAAAGGAAATGAGAAACTTTGGAGCAAGAAGAAACTTTTTATGACCATCACCGGTCACCATTCAATTGGCAAGTGGGTGAGATATTCTTCTTCCTCATCCACCCATCCCAATAAAGTTTTTCTTTTTTTCCTTCGACGGGGTGAGTTAATGTAATCAGAAAGGTTGTTTAGTCTGTGTTTTGATTTTAAATCTACGACTAATGGCTTCTACCAACCTGTACCTTCAATTCCTTTTGTGAATCTCCATGTTATCCCTGATATAATATTTTTTTGACATTTCCATTTACATGAGTATTAGTGGTACCCATCCTGCCTGTATATTCCACCTCGTTCTTTATTATAATCCCCTTGTCACCTACCACCAAGCTTTTTCAAGCCTAGCTTCCTTTCTATGCCTGAGGCAGCTTTCATTGAATTCCACTAGGATATAAAAACTTCAAAAGGTACAACAATTGACTTCAAAAGTTTGCACCTTTGGCGATCTCTAGGCAAAAGATATGACATGTTCACTTGATTCAGCGATGATTCATCACCATTCCCAAAAGATGGTCACATTTATATGAGAAGGAATTGTCTTTTTTTAAAGTATTGTCATATGAGATCACTGGGAACTAGTCTACATTTTCTGAAAATAGAGGAAGTTTCTACCCTAATTCAGATGATGGGAACTGTTCTCTCCTAGATGATATTTGTTACACTAATTCAACAGAAGCTGTGTATATCCTCTTATGTTGTCTTCCAGGAATTGACTCCCCACTTCAGTATGCATTCAAACAATGAGAAATAGGTGACTACTCGAATAAGTTCTGCCACACATTGAAACACCCGAATTTATCATGCTCTTCATCATCTTCCTGTTATATGAGAGGAAATATATCTACTTCTACATTGTTCGAGGGGACAATGTCTATGAAGTACCCTGAAATGAATCATCTAAAAGGACTGGTCATGAGTAAACTGATATTTCCATTGTCAAAATACAAGTTTTAAGGAAATTAAACAAGTGAAAGATCATCACGATATTTCCATATTAGTCGCCTGTTTTCAATTTTCCAACTCAATTTCCAGAAACCCAACCCAAGAAAAATAAATTTATCCCACAGGAATGACAGGAACAAAACGGTCGAGTAACAACCCCATCCAATCCGGAAAACATTACGCCAGTTCAAAGATTTCATCATTTTAGTAAATCACGAGGATGATCTGGCTCTTCACGGAAAATGGTAAGCTCAAGCCAAAGAATTCTTCAGGTAAAGATGAAGCAATCAGATCTTAGTTGAATTATTCCGCTCGGATTCTAACCTGTTGCCGAGAAAGGTAATCGGACTTTATTGAAGCGATATTCGCTAAATGTTCCGGAAGCGTGAGCAGCTTAGCCACCTCCCGGACAGCGGCTTCCTTCGCCTCGATGCCCAGATCCTCCATCATCCCCGCCTTCAAACCAACGACACGAACTCAAAACCTTGGTACGCACGGGCGGCCCCCCCCCCGCCCTCCCCCGCACCACACCACCACCAGCTTGTTTTGAAGCTCTGTCCTGGGAACTTGTCAAAAACCTTGGGCAAGTCCCCTGGGGCTGATAATTTCAGAAAGATGGGTGGAGCTGCAGCCTCCGGTACATTCTCCTCTCCACGACGCCACCCCCTCGGATCCAACCTGGCCCTCCGAATATCTTGCCACCCACCCTCTCGCCCTCTTCGTTTTCCTCAATTGCCTTCTCTTCCTCTCCTCCGCGTCGACGAAATAAGGACGACCATAGACAAGCTCTCGTTCCCTCCCTCCCTCTGTTCTCCGAGACGATCTGATTTCGCTCGTCGTTGGGCCGGTACCAGATCAGCCCAACGGATCCACCAAATACTATCATCTATTGGGCCGAGAGGATCCGATACCCCTTGAACGATTGCAACCCCATCTTAAAAAGTCAAAAACCTCTCATGCCCAAGAGATCTCAAAGTCAAAGAATGATCTTCCAACCGTTTTGCCCCCACCTAAGATGGCTGCAAAGCTCCTCAAGGGAAGGTCAATGGTTGATTGATGTAGCCCAAGACACAAGTTAAAGTGTCAACTTTGAATTTAGGCCCAATTATCTTGAATTTGGGCCATAAAGTGAAAAGTGCAAGAAAAAAAAGCCCACATATGTCACCAGTGGGCTGGAGGTCTAAATTTGGGCCCGCTTTATGTCCTTTCACTTTTAGAAGATACTTTATGTCTCATTCCTTCTAGAAGAGACTTTAATGTGGTTTAGTCTGTATCTAAGATCTATTTAGGATCTCTAATTGTCAGATTCTATATCTAAGATCTGCTTAGGGTCTCTCATTGTCAGAGTTTACTTTAGGTCATGCCAAAGTATTTTAAGAAGATTTATCTAGCATCTCCATCTATTAGAGTCTATTTTAAGTCATTTCAAAGTTAGTCAAACTCTATCCCTAAGATTTGTCAAGATCTTCTTTTTGAGGAGCACCAAACCTCCTTTCTAGGCTTATATAAAAGCCTCATTGTAACTAGAGGGACACACCTTTTTAGTTGAATCAGTTTTCTCCACTATGAGAACCTCTCCCTCTTACTTGTGGATTCAAACACTCTCTTGTGGATTCAAGAGTTAAAGACTCCGAATCTGTGGATTTAGAGGTTTCTTCTCCAAAATTAGAGTTTTGTGGATTCAAGCCCATATCTTGTTTATCTTCTATGTTACTACTGCATTAGTTGGTATTAGAGCAAGTCAATGTTTTAATCAAGCTTCAAAAAACTGTTATGAGGTAAATCTGCTCATATTAGTGATAATGAGTCACATGAAGTTTTTCTTATCTTAAAATCAGATTTTATTACTTTTCAAAATCAAATAGATAAAAATTTTGAGGATCTTCGTGATACCTTGAAACAACTTTTGACAAGAATGAGTGTATTAGAGGGTCATTCACATCCTCCTAGAGATCATGAAATTAGACGTCCTCAAAAAGCCACTCATGTCGAATCTTCATCAAATACTCATTATTCATCTAGTTCTATAAGTTCTAGATCAAGATTTGAAGAAGATAATTTTCGAAATTTTTGTATGAAGATTGACTTACCATGTTTCAATGGTCATTTGAAGATTGAAGACTTCTTAGATTGATTAGTTGAAGTAGAACGACTTTTTAAGTATATGAAAATTTCTAATGAAAAATTATAAACTACTAACTTATAAACTAAAGGGTAGAGCCTCTTCATGGTGGGATTAATTACAAACCACACATATGAGGTCAGACAAAGAACCTGTACGATCATAGGAGAAAATGAAAAAACTCTTGAAATCTCATTTTCTTCTCCCATATTATGAACAAATTTTATATCAACAATATCAAAACTGCAGATAAGAGAATAGATCACTTTCTGATTATGTTAAAGAATTTTATCATCTATCTTCTCGAATCTACTTGATAGAATCCGAGTCATATATGATTTCAAGATTTAAAGGTGGGCTCAGATGGAAAATTGAAGATAAAGTAGCTTTACAATCATTTTTCAAGTTTAATGACATCATAATGGCTGTAGAGCGTGTTGAAGCCTTATTAGAGAAAGGAAAAACCAGAATTCAAAATTTTGGAAGTTAGAATTCAACTCTTCAACTAGAAAGAGGACGATCTACTATTATTTCTTCTACACCACATAATGGACGACTGAATCAAAGTTATGTCAGATCAAGTGGAGCAAACCCTTCTACCCAAGTCTCTACTAACAAGAATACTTATACTCTTAATATCATTTCTAAATGCTACAGGTGTGGAGAAAGTGGACACAAATCAAATATCTATCCTAAACATGGCACAATAAACCTTGCAGATTCTATTGAAGAGGAAACAGAACATGAAGAACCAAATATTGAAGGTGAGGTAGAATAAAATTTTATTGAATTTGATGTTGGAGATGCATTGTCACATTCATTTGTAGTCAAGAGATTGATGTATTCACCAAAAAGAAAAGATGACCCAAAGCGCCATAATATTTCAGAATAAGGTGTACTATGAATTCTAAGGTATGTGATATAATCATTAATAGTGGCCGTAGTGAGAACATTGTCTCTTCTATGATGGTTAAAAAATTAAGTTTACAAACAAGTCCACACCCTCATCCATATTGAATTGGTTGGATTAAGAAGGAAAGAGAAACTAAAGTTTCAGAAACCTATCTAATCAAATTTTCAATTGGCAAAACTTATTTTAAGGAAGTATAATGTGATTTGACATGGATACTTGTCACATGATATTAAGCAGGCCATGACAGTTTAATGTTGATGCTACACATTGTGGTAAGGAAAATATTTATATTTTTCTATAGAAATGGTAAGAAATTTGTTTTGGCTTTAATACAAGACAATGATTTTAGCTAAGGAGAGAAGGAGAAAAGAGAAGTAATGCTCATCAACCATACATAATTTCTTAAGGAGTTTGATATTAATAATGAATTATTTGTTATTGCTCAAAAACCTGATTCATTTATCAAAATAATTGATGTGATATCAAAGCCTATTCAAAGTCTTTTATCTCAATTTTCTTTAATTCAAGAGCCATCTACTCATCTTCCATCAATACGAGATGTACAACATCATCGTAATCTTATATTAGGAGTAAGTCTGCTTAACCTTCCACATTATAAGATGACTTCACAAGAAAATCAAATTCTTCAAGAACAAGTTAAGGAGTTATTATGTAAAAGATTGATAAGAGAAAGTATGAGACCATGCTCTATGCTTGCTTTACTTGTTCCAAAGAAAGATGGAAGTTAGTAGATGTATGTCGAGAATAGAGCTATCAATAAGATAACAATTAAGTATAGATTCCTAATTCTACGCCTAGATGATATGTTATATATGCTTTGTGATTCTAAAATTATCTCAAAAGTTGATTTAAAGAGCAAATATCATCAAATCCGAATTCGGCTAGGAGACAAATGGAAGACTGCCTTTAAAACTAACGTAGGTCTTTATAAATAGTTGATCATGCCTTTCGGCTTATCAAACGCCCCCAATACCTTTATGAGAGTGATGAATTAGGTTTTGAAACCTTTTATTGGTAAATTTGTTGTCATTTATTTTAGTGACATTCTTATTTACAATATTACGGAAGATGAACATATGAAACATCTTAGATCAGTGTTCAAAGTGTTACAATAGAATGAATTATATATTAATTAACTTGAAGAAATGTGACTTCATGACTACTAATTTGTTATTCTTAGGATATGTTGTAAGTGCAAATGATATCAAAGTAGATAAAGAAAAACTCAGAGCTATCAAAAATTGGTCAAGACCAACTTTAATTCATTAGGTTCAAAGTTTTTATAGATTGGCATCATTTTATAGAAGATTCATTCGAAACTTTAGCTCAATAATGTCTCATATTATTGCTTGTATAAAAAAGGATCAATTTAAATGGACTGATGAAGCTAGTAAAAGTTTTATTATGATTAAAGAGAAATTATGTTTTGCTCCTATTTTAGCCTTGCCAAATTTTGATAATCTATTTGAAGTAGTATGTGATGTATCCATAGTTGGCATTGGAGGTGTACTGTCGTAAGAAGGTCAGCCAATAGTATTTTTCAATGAAAAACTTTCCCAAGCAAGAAAAAAATGGACAACATATGAACTAGAATTTTATGATGTGGTTTGTGCTTTACAAACATGAGAATATTATTTGATTTAGTAAGAGTTTATTTTATATACTGATCATCAAGCTCTTAAATTAGTAAATAGTCAAACTTCTATCAATAGAATACATACCAGATAGATCTCTTTCATTTAACGTTTTACTTTTGTTATTAAACACTAGTCAGGAAAACTGAATTAAGTTGCAGATCCTCTCAATAAAAAAACAACATGTTTGCTAAACATGTATGCTGAAATCACAAGATTTAATTATCTCAAGGAATTATACCTAGATGATGTTGATTTTTCTCAACAATATATGATATATATGTCAGAAATATCAACTAAAGGTTTTCACCTACAAGATGTTTTTCTATTTCGAAGAACATAATTATGTATTCCTCACAACTCTTTAAGAGAGAAATTACTACAAGAATTACACTCTTCTAGTTTAGTAAGTGATAAGTCTTCATTATCATGAGTTAATAATTAGTAAATAATATAGTTTTAGCCTTAACTCATGATAAATAGACTTATATTTGTGTTAAAGTGTGAAAAGTGGTTTTCAATTGATTAATATGATTTTTTAGGTAATTATGTGATTTTATATGAATTTATATAATTTTTATAGTCTTACTTTTGAGATAAATGAAGAAAAAGAAATAAAAAATAAAAATAAGACAAAATGAGGGGGACCCACTGGCCAATCGGGCCCGCAAGCAGGTCGAAAGCTCAGTCAAGGAGGGAGTAGCTGTGAGTAGGGGCTTGAGTGGCTTAGACCGATAGGGGCACGTGTGTGCCACTCCCCTTCCACGTCACCGGTGACCAACTGACTGTGGGGCAAGGAGTGGTCGTATACGTGAGAGAAGGAACTTTGCTTAAAAATATAATATTACTATATATTTGCCTGAAAAATCAATGCACAACAGATGTGAGACTAAACCCACATCATACTTTCCTCAGAAGGGGTAGACAATCGGCGCAGGTTCGAGTCCTTCCAAAGTCAAAAGTCATATATTTTTATCTGATTATCACGACTTTCTTGTAGATCGTCAATAAAGGATTAAGTAATGAGAATCGCTAGATCATCAGCGAAAATTTCGTCAATGCGATTCGCAGAGTATTGCTACTAAAATTACTGAACGATTCGCCATAGAAGGATCGCAAATCTATCGAGTAAATCATCTCCGATTGATCGATAAATAAGCCGTCATTGGGAAGAGGACGATCTACCGAGAGACGAGTCGTCACCTCCTGAGAACGTATCAAATGTGATGAAGAGCCTCCTCTTACTACGCAGACCTGAGGATGAAGCTCCCTGACATGTGCCCCACCTCCATCCAGCTCCTCTCCATCGGGTGACAGCCGTTAGAGAGCTGCAAAGTCACCGTTTTTCCGCTCCGCTAGGTGACAGCCGTTGGAGACGATTCGACGACCCATTCCATTAATCTCTAGACTTCACAAAGGGATCTAGAGATTGCCCACATCATCTTTGTCCAAGAAGAGCCTTCGAGGCTGTGGACACTACACAATGATCCTCTCAAATACTCAAGATTTTGGTGCATCACCAACGCATCACCATTGCGATGTCGGAACTCTGTTTTCCTACTTTTAACTTACTTTACGCTTCATTTAGCAATAATTTTTGTGATTTTAATTTACTAAAATAAATTTTGTTCTATTACGATTGTTCTTGTTTTTACAAATCTTTATTTGGTTAATTCAATCATCTGTAATCGCTTATGTAAGAATCACCAGGTGGAACTCTGTTTTCACCTGATTCACGTTCGTCAAGGCATTGACATCATCTTGATGTCTGCACCCTTATTTCTCTTTTTTGTGAATTTCAAATATATTTTCTTTTTATTTCCTAATATAAAATTTATAGAAAATTGTATTCATTGAGAAAAATTCTAAATAATTACCAAATAATATATTATATCCCTATGATCGACTTGGAAACATATCGCTATTTTTGGAAGTTTTATTGATTTATAATTGATATATTTATTTAGAAATACTTCTAAATATCTAAAATTCATATTTTCTAGTTTTATAAATTTTAGATTTGCATGATTTAATATACAATGACTAAGTCACATCAAATTTTGGTGCCATCGTCGGGGATGTATTGCATAATATTTAGTGTTTTTCTATTTTTTTTTGGGTATAGAAAAAAAAATACTCTTGTTTTATTTTTTTTTATTAATTTTTTTAGAAAAAAGGAATGAAAAGAAGCAAGGCAAGGACTGGAGCATTCTGAAGGAGGGTAATTGATAAGTCTTCATTATCATGAGTTAATAATTAGTAAATAATATAGTTTTAGCCTTAACTCATGATAAATAAACTTATATATGTGTTAAAGAATGATCTTTGGTTTTCAATTGATTAACGTGAATTTTTGGGTAATTATGTGATTTTATACAATTTTTACAGTCTTACCTTTGAGATAAATGAAGAACAAGAAATAAAAATAAAAAATATTGCAAAATAGGGGGACCTGCCGGCCAGCCGAGCCCGCAAGTGAGTCAGAAGTGCAGTCATGGAGTAGCCGCGAGCAGGGGCTCGAGCGACTTGGCTTGGGGACCGATAGGACACATGTATGCCACTCTCCTTCCACGTCATCGGTGGCCAACTAGCTATGAGGCAAGAAGTGCTCGTACACTTGAGAGAAGGGACTTTGCTTACAAAGCTAACATTACTATATATTCGCCCGAAAAATCGACGCACAACCGATGTGGGACTAAACCCACGTCACACCTTCCTCAGAAGAGGCGAGCGACCGGTGCGGATTCGAATCCTTCTAGAGTCAAAATTCATATATTTTTATCTAATTATCGTGACTTTCTTGCATATCGTCGGTGAAGGATTAAGCAACGAGAATTGCTGGATCATCGTCAAAAATCTCATCAATGCAATTCGTGGAGCATTGCTACTAAAATTGTTGAACGATTTGCGATAAAAGGATCGTGAATCCTTCGAGTAAATCATCTCCGATTGATCGACGAACAAGCCATCGTCGGGAAGAGGACGATCCACTGGGAGACCAGTCGCCACCTCTTGAGAGCGCACCAGATGCGATGAAGAGCCTCCTCTTGTTGTGCGGACCTGAGGATGAAGCTCCCTGATACGCGCCCCACCTCCATCTAGCTCCTCTCTATCGGGTGACAACCGCCGGAGAGCTGCAAAGTTGCTATTTTTTCACTCCATCGGGTGACAGCCGCCGGAGACGATTTGATGACCCACTTCATTGATCTCTAGACTTCGCAAGAAGATCTAGAGATTGCCCACATCGTCTTTGTCCAAGGAGAGCCTTTGAGGCCGTGGACACTGCACAACAATCCTCCCGAACGCTCTAGATTCTGGTGCATCGTCAACACATCTCTGTCACGACATCAGAACTCTATTTTCCTACTTTTAATTTACTTTACGCTTTATTTAGTGATAATTTTTGTGTTTTTAATTTACCAAACTATACTTCGTTCAATTACGATTCTTTCAGCTTTTACAGATCTTAATTTAATTAATTAAGTCGTCTGTAATCGCTTATGTAAGAATCACTGGGCGGAACTCTATTTCTACTTGATTCACGTTCGCTGGGCACTGACGTCATCCTGACGTCCGCACCCTTATTTCCTTTTTTTTGTGAATTTTAAATATATTTCCTTTTTATTTCCTAGTATAAAATTCGTAAAAAAATTATATTCATTGAGAAAAATTCTGAATAATTACCAGATATTATATTACATACCTGTGATCGACCTGAAAAATTACCGCTATTTTTGAATTTTTTATTGAATTATAATTGATATATTTATTTATAAATATTCTAAATATCTGAAAATTTGTATTTTCTAGTTTTATAAATTTTATATTTGCGTGATTTAATATACAACGACTGAGTCACGTCAGTAACAATTACTAACTTTTCCCCTCAAATTTATTGATTTTTATGCATGGTAGAAGATCCTTACATCCAAAGCTAGAAAATCGTTTCATTATTTCATTCAAAAATAAAAATCCAAAAGAAAAATTAATTTTGATAGATCTTGAAGGAAGTACAGGTCAAATTGAGAATAATCCTATGGCCATGAAAAATCATTATATCCCTGATTCATTTCAAAGAGCATCCAATATTAGAGTCTCATTAGCACCCACTTTTAAATTCAAAATAAATCCAAGAATTTTTCAAATGCCCTCTAATTTTCATGAATTGCCTTTAGAGGAACCTCATCAGCATTTAAAAAAAAATCATATGATCTGTGATTTAGTTAATCTCCCTCAAGTTATACTAGAAATTATTAAGATGAAATTATTTTCTCATACACTTAGGGACAAAGCTAGTCATTGGCTATATATATTAAATAGAGAATTAACTAGTTGAAAAGATATAGAACATACGTTTCTTTGAAAATTTTATCTTTTAGGATAAACTCAAAATATGAGAAAATATATATGGAGTTTTTCTCAAAGACCAGGAGAAACTTTGCATGAGACATGGGAAAAATTCAAAGCTTTACTTAAAAAGTGTCCTCATCATGCTATACCCAAGTGGCAGCTCAATATAACTTTTTATGATGGATTATTAGAACAACATAGAAATATGGTTGATTCTATATGTGAAGGAACTTTTATGGAGAAAACTCTTGATGAGATTTACAATCTTAATGAGAATTTAAGTGAAAATTTTAGAGATCAAGCCTCTCTTGAATTATATGACAAGGATAAGAAGAGATGAATTTATGAATTGCATCATGATGATGATTCTAAACTTAAAAATGAGGTTAATCAGATTAAGCAAAGATTATAAAAAATTGATTTACTTATTGACAATATTAGAAAGCCTTTTAGCCCTTAACTTAATTCAAATAGTACATATCTTATGTATGGTGAAAATAATTATTCTGAATTTCAATGTTATAATTTAGATCA